ATCAAAATGGCTTGCATCCGAAAGGACTTAAACAAACGAAAGACTATAAAACAGGCGTCAATTACAATGTCTTATTGTTAAGGAATTTCCGTCGCTTATTCAAAAAACAACGAGTGCAAGGCGAATGCCATATGTCAAAAAAAGAACGTTGCAACACTCGCGGTCCCCTCGAAAGAAAAAAAATGGCTGCGACACTCGCTCCCTCAAAAAAAAAAAAGAAGGCTGCACACTCGCTACACTCGCGGCTCCATCGATGCTTGCTATGCATCTCAAGGAGGGCATTTACATGATCAGAAAGCTATGGGCGGTAATGATACTAATTGCACGGGAGGAAATATATCAAAGATGCTGATAGAAATGGAAAGGCACACATTTCCATTATGATCAAAATGGCTTGCATCCGAAAGGACTTAAACAAACGAAAGACTATAAAACAGGCGTCAATTACAATGTCTTATTGGTAAGGAATTTCCGTCGCTTATTCAAAAAACAACGAGTACAAGGCGAATGCCATATGTCTGTTGTGCTTGCTATGCATCTCAAAGTTCTGCCATACTAGGATATCAATATAATGAAGCTAAAGATGAGAACGGGCTGTACACGGGCGCTCCAGAAACGATATTAGCCTATAACGTTCGTCGAATCCTTGGGAAAAAGGGGTGGGTGAGGGCATTTACATGATCAGAAAGCTATGGGCGATAATGATACTAATTGCACGGTCTTTTCTGGAATCAGTCAATGCTATTTCGCATACAGATCATCATGAACGCCGATTGTGGAGAAACCGAATACAAGCTGCAGATCCCATTGAGCGACTGCATAGTAGCCCCTATACTTGGAATGTATAGAAAAAAGAATTAGTCATTTCAAGCATGTCACCGGAGAATGTTCAAAGTTGGTCTAAAAAAGTTTCAGCAATCTCTGTACATGATTTGTTAGAAAGGCAACCGAGTATACAATAGTAATAGTGAAGAGAACAAAAAAGCTGTATTTACATAACACGTAACCAGCTAAGCTGTAAAATTTGTCATCTTCATTTAGGATGACGGAAAAGAACAAATACAAGACTGAGGAAGACATATTCGAGCAGCACTATGGTGGGAGAAATGGGTTGTAACCTGAAAAGTTTGTAGATTAGTAGACTGTCAAGACTGTTGGCTGATGCTTTATTAAAGACATGTTTGCGTTCCGTAGGTCACTTTCAGACAGTGCCGGTGGTGTAAAAAATAAAATCAAGAAACGAGTTTACCTCAGTCTTTGGGAGGAAATCTGTTAAGCTGGCCGCGTTTGGTGATTACAAGCTCTCCGCTGAGGAATGCCGCCATCTTTTGTTCTAAAGGACTGTTGTGAAGTATCATTCACCTGCGATGTTATTTGACTACAACATACAACACCTCAATCTACAAACTTGGCAACATCGAACAAGAATTTTTACACTGACTGCGGTTTATCCACCATCAGTGGAAATGTGCACTGTACCATTTCATGGTCAGTGCAAGTAACGAGTTCAAGTCAGAAGCCGCAGAATCATAATTACTACTTCTACCGGAGAAAGCGTCGGATAGTTTGGGGGAAGCCTTGTGTGTTGTTGTCGAATAAGGACTATAGGGATGAGATGGATAGGGAGTTAGAGTGGTTTGATAGAAAACAAAATTCCTACTTTACAAAAAGAACCTTTTGACATTTGATCTCAATAAAGCTTTGAAAACATAGCCAGTGCGGTCGATTGAAGCCTGTTGTTTAATCACGCTGGTTTGCGGTAGGGTTAGAAGTGGCATAGAATTGATAGTGAACATCATTTACGTAAACGCGAATACGGCTAGTCAGTGAAGAACAAGAAAGATAAGTTATTAATCAAGCTAACGGAAGAACAGCAAGAAAATTTAAACCATACCGCGGTGGAGGCGGGTCCACGAAACCATGGTTCCCAACAATTCTCTTCCTCTGATTCGAATTTGGATTTCTGATACACACCGCCCGTCAGAACACGAAAATCAGTACTGTCTGAAACAGCCCGCAATTACCAAGACATGGATGGGGGGGTCCCGAATTATTGGCTTAGAAGCTGGTGACAAGGCATATATTGATAGATGATCGCTTTTTCCCTATTTCCTTTCATTTTTCTTAGCTATCAAGCATGACTAGCCAACTCGAGAATTGCCTTAACCTTAATGATCAAAACTTAAAATGCATTGCTTACCGCATATGGGCTAATCAACGAGCTCATTTTCGCAAGTTCAGAATCGCCAATTGTACGTTATATTGGTATTCCCATGTTATCCTAATTGTTCTGCAGCTATCATAGGCGAATTTGATGTCACTTTGTCTGGTATACGATCACACAACAGTGTATGGAAGCGTTAGAAACTATGTGTGCAATTATAACGTTCAAAAATTTGTCATAAATACGTTTATTTATACATTTTTGCAACCGTTTGTGGTAACGCTTATCCAATTCTAAAAAATGAAATGTATCGAGTCCACTCTACCCTACATGGCCTCGTTAATTATCTCAAATGCCTTTTTATACACATCAAGCATGGTTTTACATTTCTGTCTCTCGTTTGCAAGATTCTCATCCTCCTGCAACAGATCAGAGAACAATTCCTCCTTATACAATTCTGACACTAAGCGATTCTGGACAGCTTCACGTGAATAATTTACAAGAAGATGCATGATGGATTTAGGCACTAAATCTTGAATTGTCTTCCGAACAATATTGAAATATGATGTAATCAAGGAGCCTGCAAAGGTGAAATATTATTGTATAAGAACAACGTATAACATGTCCACAATATAAATTACACGTCGCGGAAAGTCAAATTCAAGACGAACTTACGTATAAGCTGCGCTTCCATTTGTTCCCGCTCGGTTAGATTGGAATTTTCATCGGATAGCAACGTCTATCGTATTAAACGAGCAAACATCAGTTAGAAAGCTCGCTACCCCGGCATGTTGTCATCATGATAGTCAATGTCATTCTCATCTTTTTCTATGTCAATGTTGTATATTCTTTCTCAACACGTACACTATCAAACTTCTTCTCCAATTCATCCATATCCATAGGTATGGCCTTAGAATATACACTAGATCGGCCACTGCTTCCCTGATCAGGTAGCACAGTACGATCTGCTTTGTTGCCACTTCCAAAAAAGTACGTAAGAAAACTTTCACGTTGAGACCATGAATTTGAACCCGATGTGGGTGATATCCCGTTCATGCTATAATCTCGCATATGGCTATCTGTATAACTATCCGAATTTGAAGAAGTCTCAAGAGCATCATCTTTCGTTGTTAGGCCGTTGGTCGCTTTTTCATGGTGTGACGCATTGCTCATGTTAGCTGTCTGTTACGATAGTAAGCACAATACCCCAATAAAAAACAATTAAGTAAGATTCGACGCAAGAATCTACACATTTCGTAAGTTTAATTACCCGTCTCTGGTGTTTCTCGACATCCCTTCTTTTTTTTTCATTCTGTTTGACTATATCAGATATAGCCCCACCTCCACCAATGAAATCAGGATGATTAGTGTTGATGTATGCTCGTTGAATGGCAACAAGACTCTCAACATATTCCGCTGTCGGGGGTAATCGTTCGCGTAATAAGTCAGAGACTACTTCAAGAAGTTTAGCATGTAGTTTCGGATATTGGTTAAGCTCCTGTTGACCAACGTTGAAATTACTTAGGGGTCCAATTTCATTACGAAAAGAATACCACACGACATTATTAGTATCATGGAAATACCTTACTTCCACAGTGATGACATATTTTTATCAATTCCTCGTAAACAAGTTCAACGCATCGAAGGCTTGGCGGTTCTAGCAGTTGTATTTGTGGCCTAACCAATAAATCGAACGCTATTTCTGGAACAAAGAGAAACGGTCGCGGGCCAGTAGAATTGCGTATAGCTGTCCTTATATCTTGTATACTCAAATTGTAGCCAGGTTGAATAGATTCTAAAGCAGCGCCAAAAACGTTATTGAAAATATAATATATTCGTGCACCACCTGACCTATATAATATAAAACGAACAACGTAAGTCTCAATTGTATTGTACGATAATAAAAGTAAATTGGTAAACCTACAATTCTTTGGTTGATATTTCTTCTGCAGTGCCGTCAATGGATGCCATAAAATCAAGTGCGAATTTGTTGAGAAGTTTTAATATCAGAGCAGCCTAAGTTCAAAATTGGTCATTTTGTTACATCAGACACCTGGATTAACATAAATTACAATTGATAAACCCATGACGTACCTTTTGAGCTTTGCCAGTGAGTGCCCCATCTCCATACGATGAAAGCTCTTGTTGAGTTTGTGCAATAAGAGCATTAATCCGTGCCTTCATATCAGGTAATCTTTCTCGAATATGATTCATGAGAATCTTAAGACGCAATCGATGTATTTGTCGATGTGAGCCAATCGAATTAACCACAATTCCCACTTTGAGCGCGAATTCTCTACATTGTAAAGTCCTAACTTATAACTACAACTTCTCACATATGCCTTATTTGTATTACAGCTTAACTCATTCCATTAACAGTACCACTGTAAAGCGCTACGTACGATGTTCAAAGTCTTAGCCAGAAAGGGCGTTCCACATCTCGAAGAAATGCTCCGATACGCAGGATGATGTTTGAAAAACTCTACTTCTGCCTTCAATGCTTCTGCCATTGGTTTATTGGTGGAAATGTCATGTTGACTACGGTTGACAACGCCAATAAATCCGAGTTTAAGCGGATAGACACGTCCGGTGAGAATATCAAGTGCGTTGGTGCCAGCATCCATTAAATCTAATTTAGTCAAGACGCCAATAGTTCGCCGACCTAAATTTCAGACGGTACATGAGACAGCCGAATAGCAGAAGGAAAAGACGATCAAGCAAGCGTACAGAGATAATTGCACAATAAAACAGTGCCCAGACAAACCTTCTGCGTCAACTTGTTTCGCAAGTTTTAAACTTTCGGAATTGACCAGATCTACATTTGCCGGACTAACAGCCAGGATTATACTGAAGGACGGGCAAAGTTTGTAAAGGTTACGATAAATTACATCCCCTCAATGCTTTCAATACATGAATGCTTGCTCTTTTCATTCTCACAATGATATCAAACCTATTGGGCTTTGTTATATAATCAAGAATCAAATTCCTCGTTTGTTTTTCAATGTCCGTTGGTTGATCGCCTGATGATATGGCAAATCGTTAGATAATGTATGTAGCTCAAAGAAAACCAATAGTTAGATCAACATGCTTACCAACAGGAATCTATACATATAGGTGCAAAAAGTCCAAACATTACCAATTCTTTATTGCGCTCACGATGCCATCGAAATAAACTATTTTCATTTTTACCTTCGTCAATCCAGGCAAATCAACTAGCGTCAAGTTCAATACTTTGGGCGAGAATATCTTCAGATGAATAGGCGATTTTGAAATCCCTTTATTCTGCCCGGCGACTCTTGCTGTTTCGGCTTCTATCTCTTTCCTAATCTCCACAAAATCAGTAAATTTTTGAGCAGGCGCGTGTAGGAATTCGCCATATTCTTGTGTCGTGGAGTCGTCCGACTGTGGTATGTTTACAAGCTGAAGAACCAACGGACGACGAGTAATGATTCCATTCCCTCGCGGTAGAAAATCACGTTGGACAATATTTTCAAGAACCGAGGATTTTCCAGAAGATTGTGAGCCTACTACAATGATCTGTGGCAGATCCACAGTTTCACTACCGATTGTATTGAAAACGTCTTGAAGCTTATTTACCAGAGGAATAAGGTCATTCATGTTGGTAGTTCTTGTACAGGAACGATTTAATAACTAAACGTAGTTAAATATTTCTAGACTTTTTAGTAAAACGGAACTTCATATATAGAACGAAAACAAATGTGACAAAACGTTTGTACTACAGTGACATATGTTACACGCCTTGCGCCACACGATGTAAATACATGCAAGGATCGTCTGTGTAAATTATCGTTGACAATATTTAATATGTTGACTCTTTTTTTCTTATCGGAAAATCTCTTGACTAGAAAGCAAAGAAGTATTAAAGAATAATAACTAAATTGCCTATATATGGCACCAGATATATCGAAAGTCCAGCCAAAATCGGTAACAGAAAACGATCTTGAGCACTTTCGGCAGGAATGGCGTGCAGAAGTCGAACTCAGAAAGACTCTTGCGCAGCAGCCCGATGATCATTCGGACCAGGCTTCTAATGCAAATAATAACACACTGCGTGAGGACGATTCGACACAAACTACAATTTCGAGGCTTGAGAATGTAGAGCATTTTTTCCGGCGGTTGAGCTTGAGTGAACAGTTCAACAGAGAAACGAGCGAAGAGCGGGAAATTCCCCAGCAAGAGGTGGAATATGATAATGCTGGATTACCGGGGTTGAATCAGCAGAACGCCCTGTCTGAGAAGAAAGAGGAAATAGAGCGTGATGATGTTCCCAGGACTGCATTGGAATATTATGTCCGTGCTGTTGCTGATGAACGAGAGGGAAACTTGAATGAAGGTAGAGATTGAGATGTAGGAGATGAAGTTAATTTGTACTCTACTGTCGGTTACTTACATTAATATATTTTATTACTGTTTCTAGCGATAAAGAACTATAGCAAAGCGACAACGCTTGACCCCGACGTCGAACATATCTATCGTAACCACTTTAATGTTGAGCCTCGTGATTCTCAACTTGAGAGTCAGTCGCTATCTACCCAAAATTTAGTTCAATTAGACAGCAATTCGCTCCTGCCCCCTGGACGCAGCACTGATGAGCACGGCTCTGCCTCTTCAACATACACGAATATGACTTTGCTCCTTAATTCCTTCCATGAAGACTCGTTAGACTATATTCCTCTCAAGCCCAATCGTAAAGTGCATATAGCCAAATTACCTAACGAATTAATAGTAGCTATTTTGAAAGCCCTGATTTTTGAAGATGTGAGGGGTGTTACAAGGTGTGCATTGGTGTGCAAGAAGTTCTGCTTGCTATCGTATGAGAATTCGGTGTGGCGATTCCTGTGTGAGGTTGCACATCGCGGGTGGAACTTATCTCTTACTGCGTCTAATCTGATGTTAAAGAATGAAGTGTTGAACTATAACAACAATTGGAGAAGAATGTTTATTGAAAGGTTGGTTATGCCAGAAAATGGCGAGTTGTTGAAATGATCTACGGATGTCTGATATGTTCAATTTTTAGACCTAGAATACGATATGATGGGGTATACATATCCAGATGCGCATATCCAAGGTATTCTATCAATTAATGCTGAGTGAAGAAACAAGCATAGGGATTATATTACAAAGATTGCGCTAATTACAACATCAATTCACTAATAGCTCATTTTCGTTTGAATTAGAGCGGGTTCTGATGAAAATGCCTGGACTCAACCGATTCATGTTGTAATATATCATCGATTTCTAAGGTTCTATGCGGACGGTAGTTGCACTAGTTTGCTGACTACCAAAGAACCGAAATCGGTTGTCTACACATTAGGACCTAACTTCAAGTCAAAACAGCTCATGGCGGGCCAGTGGGTATTAGATGTCGAGAGTCATATTGTTAGCATTGAACTTAGAGATTTGGATCTCCCAAACCACACGTTTTACATGACGTTGGAGCTAGAATCGACACATCGTGGTAAACATAACAAGTTACTATTGCATGGTAAGTCACATTATGGAAGTAGCTAATGACGCCGTTATCTACCGTTAATACAGTCATTAATTGTAATAATGTATTATTAGAGTATACGTGTGTTAATAATCTGACCAATAGTGGAGATAATGTGAAAATGGGCCGTGAGAGACCGTTTTTCTTCAGCAGGGTAAGATTATTGCTTCAATTAGAGTTCGTTGACATACCAAAAAAAGCAGCTAACGTTTCAATTATAAACTGTAGGTCGCCACATATCCTGTTGGATGGTAATTAAATTTAACCTGCAACGGTTTAAAATAAACTATTAATTTAAATTAAGCATAATAAAATTTACAACGGCTCTATGGTTCACAAATATAAAAAGCCGTATTTATGTCTATTTATTAATAGTTGCTCCACTGTTCTTGCTTGTTGCCCAGTTTAATTAATTTCATTCTATAATAATAATGCTTAATCCCTTACATGTCTTATTCTGCCAGAACCCCTCATTTCGTCATTATAATTGCCTTGTATTTTGTCATTCTCGGTTATGTATCAATCAGCATACCTTTCTTGTTTGTTTCATGGAACATTTTAATTACAAATTAGGCATCACACATCACATGATTTCAGCCAAGCGCAGTGACAATTTGACGGCGATATCTATCACTAACACATTAGGACGTGTTACTAAGCTAAAAGTGACGTGTTATTTGATTTTGTCAATATAAAAGCTTGGAAATATTATAAATTATGCGGGTTGCTTCGAGTGCCTTTATCTCACAAAATAAATAGCATACTTTCTTCAAACTTATAAAAATTACAACACCACCAACTCTATCAATACCACGACGGACAACTCACAAACGCTTCATCCTACCAACACACAAGATGTCTGCAACATCAACCTACACACCTATAGATTTAACCAGATCCCCAGCGAGAGGACGTAATAGTAGAAGTCTAAGCGAAGTAATAACAATAGAAGATGACAGTTCACCCATGCGAACGCCTGAACGAATAACAATTCAACCGGCGCGAAGGATGCCCTCGATACACCGGACAAGTAACCCCACACCTTCCTTTTCCCCTGCAGACAGTTTTGAAAGCGGACTGAGTAACAATCCTTCAAGATTGAATTTCGGTGGTGAGTTTTTGAGAAGACTGAGAGTTGATGGCATTAATATATATACTATTAGAGATAAGATGAACGAATGCTACTTTTCCGAGTTTAGATGGTAAAAGCTGCAAAATATCAATCATGAATATTTGACTATAAGGAGTGGTTCATATTATTATTTGTCAGTCCGCTATCTTGGCGTTTGAGCGCACAATCAAGTCCGATTAACAATAATTTCTTTTCCTTTTCGGGGAGCAGTGTTAACACAAACAATTGTCGGCTTATTCTACCCTTATCATGGGAATCTGCATGCGCAACCACCACCACATAATCCTTCGAGGCCAACATCAACACGCTCTCGCCGTGAAGGCACACCGAACATAGCATATGACAATTCTGAAGTGGTATGTCTGCCAAATCCTCCCTCCCGAAAACAACCAGAAGATAAACCGCCTAAACCCGGACATGTCGTGGATCTTGATGAAACCAAAATATTAGTATGTTGTGACTGCGATCAGGTGTTAGGAGAGAAATTGTGGACATTAAAATGCGGACATATTATTTGTGGTGGATGTGCTGATAATTCTAATAATTTAAAGAACAAAGTGTGTCCGAGTTGTGGAATGAAAACAAGAACGACTCACTTACAACAGCTTTATGTATAAGATTTCTTTCACATTTTATATTGTTGCAAGTTTCTTTTTTCTTACAAAAGATATCTAAGAAAGATTTATACATTTGTAAACAATTGAAATTTTATAATCAAATATATCAACATTGTCAGATTATTTTACAAGAAAGAAAAGAAAGAAAAGAAGATAAAGGCCACCACCAAAGATATAAACTAAAAGAAAAAGTTAATGTTTACATAGATACTCAAAAACTTTTTTACTTTATATATATATTTATTCGGTTTCGTAGATATCTATTTGTGAGGTGGATACTTTACTCCCATGCTCTTGACACATAAAGTTAAATCACAAACTATTCGTAGCAATGAGAACTTCATACACAATGGTCTCTCCTAATTGCTAATCCTATACCCAACTCTTTAATATTTGGATAAAATTAATCACACAATAGGCTTCCTTTTTCAACTAACCCGCGGTTTCCTACACGCGACCGCATTCGCCCACCCTTCATCTCCGAAATTTATCTTGTCCTTCGAGCAGCCTTTCTTTCTGATGCATTCAACCGTCTCGGTTGTAATGGTGCCATCTGAGCTGTTGCTTTAGCTCTTTCTCGTTCTGTCATTTGTGGTGCCTCATTAAGAGAAGGCTCATTTCCTGTTTGGGTTCGATTAAACCAGCCCAGAGAAAATACCGATTTCACCGATGAAAGAGTATTGAACAAATTTTGGAAAAATCCTCGTGGCTGAACTTGAGGCTTTTGAGTTAAAAGAAGAGAGAGAGCGAGGAAATGAAAAGAAGTAGAGATGGATATTGTAGTTACATTGACAGTAGATAAATACGGCAATGCGAGATATATAATGAATGGGCATTCACCTCATCTTCGGTAATTGCATTAAGTGATGTAGATTGTACAGATGCATTAAGTGATGTGGATTGTACAGATGCATTAAGTGATGTAGATGGTACAGGTGCAGTAGGTGATGTGGATTGTACAGGTTCATTAAGTGATGTAGATGGTACAGGCTGTGTTGCATATGCCACTTCTGTAGTATACTCTTCATCAGAGTCGATTATATCATGGTATGTTAGCGATGAGATTTCGTTGGCCCCTGGAGGATCGAGTATAATCGATGAGATTTCGTTGGCCCCCGGCGGATCGAGTATAATTGATGAGATTTCGTTGGCCCCCGGCGGATCGAGTATAATCGATGAGATTTCGTTGGCCCCCGGCGGATCGAGTATAATCGATGAGATTTCGTTTGCCCCCGGCGGATCGAGTATAATCGATGAGATTTCGTTGGCCTCTGGCGGATCGAATATAATCGATGAGATTTCGTTGGCCCCTGGCGGATCGAATATAATCGACGAGAATTCATCGGCCTCTGGTGGATTGAATATAGTCGACAAGGCTTCATTGGCCTCAGGTGGGTCTAAATTTATGCTCTCCATTATAGTATTGATAGTCCTATCTTCAGGCGAATCTATGTCTATACTCCCTATTACAGCACTAGTAGACCTTGCTTCTATATGAACCTTCCTCATTCTCCTCTCGATAAACAGAGCATCATTTTGTATTTCCCCATCACTATCCTCGATTTCAATGATCTCTATTTGTCGTGCTGTATTCTCAATAGCAATATTATCGCCCAAACGTGCTGTGTGCCCGACAGTCGCGTTACTTATTATTGGGGTTTTCACAGATTTTGATAATCGAATAGGAACTGGTACGGAGAACATGTGTGAAATAAATTTAAAGATGGCCGGGAAGGCTGATCCCGAAGTATATTCGTGTTTCACATGTCCTATGATAGGATAAATTTGAACAAATTGACATATGATCGTAACAGTCTATTAAATGACGCGCGATTATTTACCTGCCGACAAGCACGGACACCCATAATTTGCTGCATCAGGGACTGGTGTATCCAACGGCTCGGGTGATATGACCCAATTGATGGTGACGCGGGAAAACCATAATCGCAAAAATTCGGGTATAACGGCAATATTGTGGGCGCTGTCTGTGAGAGCGATAGCCTTGATCCGGTTACAGAATTCTTCGGCTTATTAGGAAAGAAAAAATAATCAGCAAAAGTATTTATACGGCAGGTTGAGCGTCTATTAATTAAAACATATCAAAACGATGTATGTACTCACCAAGGTCCTTGAGGAGATATGTGGCACAAAGCCCACCAAGACTGTGTGCTATAATTACAATATCTTCTGCCGTCGTCGCCCGACTAAATAAAAAAATAAATTCAATTACTCGTGGCTCTCATATGTTCTTTATCAATTTCATCAAACACTAACCTTACAAAGTTCTTCCAAACGTAAAGGCAATGCTCAACTGGAGTTGCAGAATTTTTTATGCTTTGGCGTTCGTCACACTATAACGGAAGATATCTCAGTATATAAAAATTTCATAGACGCTTGTGGTAAGATTGAAATTTTCCAAGTACTTACGCCATTTGAATTATGTATAGTCACAGAGTTAACATTTGGGTTGAAGATTATGATGCCGAAATTTCGTTCTTGGGCTTGTTCGATGTACGGAAACATTGAACCCAGCTGAAGGTAATATATAAAAGGCAGAATCAAGAGTGAGAGAATGAATTATAACAAATTTAAAGGGAAAGTATAGTTGGATATGATGTGTACGAAAGCAAAACGTATATGTCTTTATCAATCTATCCATTAAAGATTCGTATCGAAATGGACCCATCTTTTAATAAATCAATTACCTTGAGAGAATCATTGATTATCACTGCGCGAGATGAAAAAAGTCATCGTCAATTCTTTGTTCTGTTATGAATATTACATAAAACCAAATGATTACCTTGTCTAGACCATTGACCAGGACGAACACCTCCGCTTCCCTGAATCAATAATATCAACTTCTTACATGTGTATGCATTGGCGCTGACAAGTGATGTATTAATGTTATACGATCATTATTACACTACTTCTTGTTCATTATATTCGCCCTTATGATTGAAGACCACTCTAATATTACATCTCTCAAGTGTATATTATTATTCACACCATTTTCTCGACTCCAATAGGAATAGTTACTCATACTAACCTCAAATAAATCGGACAATGGGGTATTGTCTGGTCATAGGCTGCTTCGACTGGCACAAATTGTTGAATAAACCCGTATTTTGTCACAAGAAGATCCTCAACATATTGTGACACAATCTCTACAGTGGTTACGTACCAGACGGGTCAAAGTGAGTAGACATTTATCGGCCAAGAGAAAGGGAAATATGTGAAAAAAACAACTCGAGTGTTTACCGCCTAACGCATCGTAACGTGCTTGATTGTATGCTGGGTCATTTTTTCTTACGTCAAAGAGGAAACGTTCATCTGAGCGTAATTAACAGGCGCGATAACGCTAATTAGGTACAGCCAATTCTTCGATAATTACATTCGTTTGTTTGTATGAAAACTCGTGTGAATTGTGCCAGTCAAGCACTACATGTTTTCTTCTTAGCAGCGACTGCTATCTGCATTACAGCTTACCCCATGATATTTCACTATATTCCATAGTATCCTTTCCCTTCCCATACCTCTTAACTTACACGTACGACTTTCCCCAGCTTACCTGTCACTGTATTCCTCAGCTCCCCTCGCTCGTTGAAATAATATCCAAATTCTTCCAATGTCTTGGGAAACTTGATTCTTTCAGGGATATCATGGCTGTGTGGATATGTTATTATGTTCTCCAAGCTCATTTCCATGTTTTGAAAATTTTGTACAGGTTAAACGTGTTCTCACGGAATCCCCGGAGTTCATTCTATTCAGGATATTGATCGACCAATTAAATCATCCACAACTACAATGAACGTGATTGATAGATAAGGTTGATTTTCACTTGCCATTGTTCTCGCCTACAATATTTGGAACTGGCGATTACTGTCATTCCCACATCGGTCTAATATAACAGAATAGGAATTCTAGATAGTAATATGACTTTGCAGTGAGCTGTTGGTGCAAGCGGGCCAGCGTTACATGTTTGTGCGGTCACTCTTGCAGTTTACATTTGCATGCGCTACTTCATATTCTTTATATTATTTATTTACATTATTTTAACCTGCATATTTGTTTGTTGGCTACATTATGTTCAGTCCATTAGCATACAAGCTTGCAGGATTTACATTTGAGCGTTGAGAATCATAAATATCATAAAATGCCTTGTAAGCTGGTTATTTTTATTTATATACATCCCACCGGGTTGGCGTCATCAACCCGTTATCTGCAATTCAACAAACTCCAGGTGGATGAAATCATTGCAACTTAGATGAACCTGCACAATGGACAGAAGTTGTACACGTAGAACGTAGCACCAAATGGTTATCTCTCGTACAACAACCAATAATATCCATCAAGTAGAGTAGCGCGTTAGATAAAGTCACAAATTAGATACTGCTAAATATAAATTATATTACGATCTAGTATCCTCACCTTTGAAGCTGAATCCGGTATGAATAAATAAACTTAGTCTTTACTATGCAATATACATAGGTTCAAGGCCCAAAATCGGCTAAAACTGACCATCTGTTAAATACTTGAGCAAGATATTCCTGGCGCCGTTTCATCTTCATCACCGAGATCATTTTTACGAATCCACAATTTCCACACACTCTTCCGTGTATTCAATTACCTTGCAACCCCTGAAATGCGATCAAGTCAGCATCGCACGAGCTGTCTTCGATCGAATATTTCGCTTATTCTTCAAAACCATCCTCGAAGATTCAATGGGTCACTTGATGATGGCTCAAATTATGGATTCGTTGTATGACTCGTATCATTTTTTTTCTCAATCGAAATCTCTTTTTCTTGTTTGTTCTTCCCAGAGCAAAATCTTTGTCATTCTGTATTTCTTGGATAATTTGAATATTTTAGTTATCACTGATATCCAAATGAACGCAAATACATGTCCCAGGCGATTCATAGTTATGTTAAACCGTTGATACCTGGAAATCGCTCTGAAGCGATAATATTCTTTAAGAGCGCGTATTTCCCTTTGTCCTCTATTCCAATCCCTCGCAAGGATCAGTGTTCGATACTTCATTCGAAAATTATTTCCATGCAATTTCCTGTTTGTTTTGTATGCTCCCATTAATTGTCGAATCGCGTACGAACGTACTTCCCTAGGGGTCTCTTTTACCCAGAGTTTTTCAGTTGTGAAGCACTCATCATTTAGGTAGTGCCTTCGTATGACGTTCATGTTGGTGATTCCGCCTCCCTGCACAATATCAAGAACTCTGTTGTGTGTCCATCTCACACTCCCATCTACTTTCTTCACCTTTTCCCTTTCTTCGGGCGTTGGGTAGATCGTGAGGGACTTTTATTCATAGCGAGGTGCTCCCTTCGGGCGTTGGGTAAAGCCGTATTTTTGTCGTTTCGATTTTCAGCTGATCTGATAACGATTGATAATAGGTTTTCGGCAAGCTTACCGGATTCGGTGTCATTAAGGCTGACGTCCGAACTGAGTACCACGTTCTTGTAGCACTGTTCTTGCCAAGAACCCATTCGACAAGCTCGTACGCAAATCTGCAGAGCCGCTCCTTCCTGGTACCCACAACTTTCTTGATGTCCCCAATGAGTTCGTGTCTGGGCATTTCTGTCTACCCGCATTGCCTGTCGAAATCCTTCTGCTTTCCTGAGCTGACTTGCGCATAACATATCTTCTGCTTTTCATTAAACAACTTTCTGAATAAACATACTTTACAATGATGTAATTCAATATTCTTTTCGCATAATTGATATTCAACGCGTCCGCTTATTATGTTTGGCGTTTTTTCTTTACAGAAAATTTCTTACACACTTCACACATTTTTCACATTACCATCCGCTTAATCTTGGTATCATTATTTTCATGATATTCCAGCGAGTAAAAATCGTATACACGTTCCAATGTTTATAGTACAAAATTGATTTGTAGTATGTGTAAATGTTTTCAATTCGAAGGGTACTTCGCCAGACACTAATTACCTTTTAGAAAGACACTAGAGACCATAGCGAACACCAATTGAAATATTTTCCGATCATAAAGTTGTGCTTAATAATATTAATTTAAGCATAGGCGAGCTGTAATATGTATTGTCGTTTTCATCCATAAATATAAATTGTTTGATGTGATCGTAAACCAAGAATTTCTGTATAATTGTCCCGTAGATATTCTCGTAAATTATGACATATATTTGAGTAAGTGCAAGTATACCAATCTACATACAAGCTTCCGAATTAATCTCATCGGAAGAAAATAGTCGATTGGTTCGAGGGCGAATAACCGTCCAAGATTAATGTCTACCGATACACTTTAAGAAAGCTTTGAATACGATAAAGTACAAATTTGTTATTAGTTAGACACATGAAAATAAAAGTCTAAAAGAGAAAATGTCTAAACCCGTTTTATATGGGCGTCGAAAATTTAATCACCACAACCTGTTGCAAGCGGTACTTCCAACAGGATACCAAGTTAGACCTTTCGCAAACAACGATTTTGAACGCGGGTTCTCGATTGCGTTAGTAGTGCTTACTGAGATTGGTGACTTTTCGAAAGCTCAAATTTTGGGTGAGGAGGAAAGAGCAGTAGATTGTTCAGCATTTGGATGGATATATTAATTAATATTAGATGCGGCATTATTGAAAGTGTTGTTATAGAACGGTTTAATTATTTGAAACAGCATAACCATGCGTATTTCACTATTGTGATATTATCTCCTGATGATCGTGTTGTTGGTGCTGGAACCGTCGAAAGTTTATAAAAAACACAGGACTTGTGTGTTGATATCAATTGTCTCCATGTCAAATCTGTCATATTTCAGTAAACTGCCTTTTTGAAAAACCTGCATAAAAGTTTGCTGTATTGCTTATTTTTGCCGGCTATAATTAAGCAATTATATAATGCTAATCTGCTAGCCTTAAATTTAAGTGACGTTTTTGGTATGTGGTTATTATAATCAATGCGTTACGATTACTATTTTGCTCGTTTTTGACGTAGCGCGGCTGAAGTCTAACAAGATGGTGTCCTGTCATCAGGCAGACTGGTCGAGAATGTATTATTAAAGACCGAAGACTAATTTCAGTTCAGACACTTATTACAATCATAAACTGTACTTTCTGTAAATAATAATGAAATAATATGAAATAATAATTCTGATGTATAAAGACATATTGCGTTTCATAGCATAGAGTTTCTTATTAGCGTTTTTCTTTGAAAGCACCATCCAATGCTTACTATTTGTCCATTGGCAAACTTTTCTCTCAGAATTATTTCGAACAACTACGATTACCAAAAACGTTGTGCCTTTTCATATCTGGTAGAACTATTATAATCATTGTGGCGGATTAAAACGAAATCGGATTAAAACGAATTTTGGTTTTCCTTTTAATGCCTTGAAACCCACATATACTCTTTTACTAACAAATGGTATCCTAAATCCTAACCCAAATTCCCCAAAAAAGGCTAAAAATTATCCCCCAAAAAATTTTATAATTTTCATACTAAGATAGAAAAAATTTCGTTTTAATATTAATCCGATTTCGTTTTAATCTGTCACAATCATTATCACTTATCGGTTGCTTGTTTTCTTTATACCAATGACATATCTGACGCGTTAATTATCAGACAAATGAACGTAAATATCTTTTTCGTCAAAGCTATCATCATTTTCTGCCGAGTGTTTAGGAGGTAATGGTGATTTAATGATGTGTAAATTATTATATATGTATTTTTCTTTTTTTATGGCCTGCTTTGAAAAAATTCCTGCGCATGTGTTGGAAGAAGGGATTTTAGCAGATGCTTTATATTTAACGCAAATGCCACGACTCGCAAGCGATAGTTTCTTGTTAAAACGTGTATAAATGCTAAAATCCATGGACATTCCAGAATATCACAGTTTGGTATACTAAAATGACGTAAAATCTATCCCTGAATATGTTAATTTACACGTTATTGTTACCATCAACCAATAGCAAGCTTACTTTCTCTGGCACTCTGGAGCCATACTCCGAGAATGTGTTTTGCCTGGATAAATTAATGCCCTTGACGTTAATACTTCTTGCCCACTGGTTGTTTGTGTCAAGTCATGGCAACAGACTGGGAAAGTCTGCTCTGGCAACCTTTATACACAGTAAAAGCCAAGACTGCATATCATAGTGGACATGGCATGGACTTGAGTTTTGAAGAGGGTGAAATTATTGATGTCTTGGGCATCGGTATGGATCGAGAAATGGACTTTTGGAATTATATGCTATAGATTTGGTGCCTGTAGAACAAAACATAACAAGTTAAATAAATTAAGATAGACCCGCATACTTGTTGGAATGCTTATTACTTTCGATATTTACCTTACATGCTATTAACTCTCTACTTCCGAACCCATTTTAGAAAATGATGATTGGTGGAATGGTGCCGTAATAAACTCTAACAAATTTGGATCATTTCCCAAGAAATTTGTCGAAGTGGTTTCTTCGCAGATGACACCTCGCAGACAATCAACTGTACGGAAATCATCATCTAGTTCGTCCCGAGAGCCATCGAATGATGATCGTCCTTCACAAGACGAACGTAGAAAGATGCTTGCTGCACAACGTGTAAGGCCCTCTCAACAGGACCGATCTTCGTACATCTCTCGAACTGATAATACTAATTCCAAACCAGTGGATTTACCACCACGACCAGTTACCCGACCAAAAGCTTCGCTCCCATCCCGTTCGTCATCAACGTCAATTCCGTCTCACCTGAACGCGTCTAAATCGAAGCTAACCGAGAGTCTGATCGAATCTGTCCCGGAATCCATTACGGATATTTCAGATCGCGAAGACCCCCTCGCTGACTGTAATCCTGTTTTGGAGGAGGAGTTCGGAGGTTTCCTCGATTGCTCCGTAATTGATTTCTCCATCATCGATGACTGGGCACGCGATGCACCGGCAGATGAGAGCTCATCAATAGATAGATTGTCGGACTATCTTACTTCGCCATGGGATTATGATATCTACAAACTAAGGTGTATATTTACTTGGATTGCGCTAAATATTGCGTATGACACTGCTAGTTTTTTCGCCGGTGAGTTTAACAGAAGAACAAATAACCGAAACGGAGTGTCCGGAAACCGAATGTACTTTGTAATAATGAGGGGGAGTTCGACTTGGTGCTGGATGCAGGGATGATACACTGTTATGTCTGACTTTATGCAACTTTAACTTACATCATTTGTCTTCCAGGTCGTCAATTACCTAATGGAGCTAACGATGTGTTACGCAGACGAACTGCTGTATGTGCCGGATATAGTAACTTGTTTGATGCGCTGGCGCATAAAGCTGGACTCAATGTCTGGCAAGTTACTGGCCAAGCTAAAGGTGGGTGTATAAGTTTTAAATGAGAGAAGGGGATATGGTCCATAGTACAGAAATGGTCTGGATGCATTCAAGCTGTGCACATCGATTCATACGATAGTCAAGTGTTCAAAGCGTGTACAATGATCTTACTTTCTATCATATATTTTTTCCCGATCAATGCGTGCAGGTGCTGGGTATGAACCGGGCGATCCAATTAAAAACCATCCTCATGCTTGGAATGCTGTTCTTCTTGATGGCGAATACCTATTGATTGATTCAACCTGGGGATCAGGAAGCGTCAACAACCAAACCTTTACGCGGGCGTTCAAACCGTTTTATTTTCTCGTATCTCCAATGAAATTGATCTACTCTCATTTCCCAGATAATCCGTCTGAACAATATATATATCCGCCCATTTCTTTGTCGACTTTTAGAGACATGCCTCATATTAAAGCCGATTTCTTTATAGCAGGATTACAATTCGTAAAGTTTCCGCCGGCTGTGATAGAGGTGCATGATGATTGGTTTGTAGTTCAACTTGAGTGGTGCGCTGAAGACGATGGGAGTTGGTTAATGGGTAAACTGGAGTGGCATGGGCAAGCTGTGGAGGTTTTGGTACAGAGAATGGAAGGACGAGGGGAGAGGGATGGAAGGATATATAACATGTATTGCGGAATACCAAGCGGTGGAGAAGGCAAGCTAAACTATTTCGTTTTGCCTAAGAGTGGGGTGAGTACACGTAATCGTCGATTCGGATCGTATCTTTCTATGCAGCCATATATTGAATCTGTTATAACATAATTTTACTTTTGTATATACGTAACAGAGCGGTCCCTTGGCTGGTGCCTTTAAGGTAATAAACCATGGCACAGGTTCCAGCTATCGCCCATTTGTGCAAACATACTCTGTTCCTTTTACCTTTTCGATACTTTCGCCAGTCTATCAATCACTTACTCTTAACCGGAAAATACGTTTTGAGATACTAATATTCACGGACGGTCACAGTGCACTTCCTGATTTTTGTGTCATGGATCCATCATCAACCAGACGGGAACGAATGGAAAGGCTTCGGTCTGATGAGAAAGAGAGAAGCTATTTGTTTGCAGCTGATGTAAAAATAGACAGTAAGGGACAATGGAAACTGGCTTTTGCTGATGGTGCTCAAGGCTATTTTAGTTTTGTTGCTGTTTATGATGCTGAGTAGGATGCCATCAGAGAATGGAATGCACATGGGTTTTTTGTATGATAGACATTTATTTTATTATTCCCATCAAATGAACTTTGGACAATATTTATTAAATAAAAGCAATGTTAACACAAATAATAAGCAGGTAAGTTACAGGTAAATTAATTTCTTATTATTATTTGTGTATACTTAATTGTCACATTATAATTAGTTAATCCCAGTAATCCATGGCGAACAAATAAAAAGCTCTAGAAGCAGCACAGTTAGTATAGACAATAGAAATTTTCAGGAAAAGAAATTCTTTTAAATGTGGTGTGCTGCAACAAAAGTGAGCATTCTATTATGTGACATAAATGAGAGGCTGATTATGTGGCTGTAAATTGACCACTGTGACTGATGACGTTTTAAAAAGTAATAATGGTGTTCATTCATAATAATAACTTATTATTATGGACTTGTTAATTTTAATGTTCACCTTATCATACCAGATATAAACCATAACATGATTAATATAGGGTTACCTCTATTACTATTACTATATAAAAAAAATATTATTATGAACATATTAAACTCACGGTTTACTGTTCGTGCTGATATTTTCCCCCTAGAACTTAATTTTGTGGCAATTTTCCACATGTAAGGTATTGATCATTTTGAATCATTCTTCCTAATACGCGTCTATTTTTGGGAAGTTAAAATTCTTGGATGTCCAGGACGGAAACTGTTGTCATTGATAAACCAAAAAAAAAAAAAAAAGGATCGAAAAGTCAGTTATATTCAGATGCAAACTAATGAGAGAAGTGAAGGTATTCAATATTAGATTGGGAGCAGTGTGAAATAACATACGCACTTGTTATAAAATGTTCATCTACCAATTTTCTCTGTTGTTCTGCTGTTCCTTGTTCAGCTGCTTTCTGATACAGCTCAACTGCTTTTTGAATATTCTTTTCCACTCCTGTCCCATCGCAATAGCAACAAGCAAGAATGTAAAAAACTTCCTTCCCAATCTGCTGTAGTAGTAGCGGTTTCTGATACTGAGATTGTTCGTTGGTCAGTGTAAAAAAAATCAAAAAAAATTTTTGGTGAAACAAAATGATTACGTGTACTAAATGCCAAAATAATGCGGAGACTAAACCTCGATGGGATACGTGTACTACGACTTATCCATAAAGAATGTAGATTGACATCATAGATGTCTAATATTCATGTCTTTTTTTTTTCTTTTATTTGTAGCGGAAGCGACTGCAATATATTGCACGCGTATCTTAAAGAACACACTTGAAAGAAGGATGTGTGTCTTAAAATGGAACCGTTTCTAGCAATACACGTTAGGCACGTCTTTTATCATTTCCTTTTTGAATAACCATACATTTAATGTAGCACAAACGTAAATCACATGAGAAAACCGGGAATCCTTGATTGACACATATGCGTGTATATCTAATAGTTTCAAGTAAAAAAAGCTTCTCTTCCGCTTACCAAGCGATATACAGTAACTGTTCAAACGTCCGGAATTTTCGCTGGTCATAATTATGATGATTATCCTATATATGGGAATTTTCTAAAAGTTATGTCAGTGTTGGATCTCTTGACTATAATGTTATAAGTCTATCGTTCAATCAGGCGCTAAAAATGGATAAATTGGTTTCATATAAGCTTCGTTATAAGACCATACATATTCGTTAAAGCGGATTTTATCACACTAAACATCGCAGATCTTTCCTTTAAAAAGAATTCGTATTCATGAAGAAGGATCGCGCATTAAGGGCCAGTCTGCACAATAAAATATTCGCATTGAACTCCTTTGCATGTGTAACATTTAATATGTCTGGGGTCCTATGACAATGCAAGTAGAACACTCATAAGACCCTGAGTGGATATACAGTATTTCTACAAGGTTACAAACATTTCGCGACTGACATTACGAAAATTCATTCAGATCCTTTGTTCAAAAATGACCTAAACGTCATCGATTCGCAAACCTCAACGTTACTCACTAGGCTCTATGGAACGTGGAATGAAGTTAGATTCGATGAACGAACAAATTTTTTTGACTGCAATGATATTTGAATATCAAAGACCTCACCTCCCCCGAATATTAATACTTTACTAACCTGTAAGTATTGTTCTAGACGACTCTGACGTTCATTGAGAAACGTTGGTTCCAAGTTGAAAAAATATCGCTTACTTGGTAATTCCAACTTGTCGATGCCATCAACGGACCCTTTCAGCTTCGAGTGCAAACTGACAAATTCACGGTAACGGCGCGGAACAATCCATCCGAATTTCAAAATTCCATGCGAATCATATTGTTCTACTAATATCGTATAATAGACAGCCTTTTCCGACATATCCAAGAACCATGAAGCAACAGAAATCTTTGTTCTCTCCTACGGATACAGACCGATTAGTTAATGAACGAAAAGATAAAAAGTATAACACGCCATCTACGAACGATATGACCCAAACTCACGGGTGATAGCACATTCTCCGTTGTTTGCTTCATGTACTGAGCTCTCTGATCCTTCAACGTTTGTAAACGAGTAGAATGATGTTTAAGAAGTTTCACTGACATTTCTAATTCGTCATCGTTTTGCCCGTGAGCCTCTTTAAACCGTACAAAGTCTCGCACTGCTCGCAAGCTGTCTACAACATCATCGATTTCTCGATCCAGTTTCAAGCATTTTGTTTCGAGAAACAAATCTCCTGGTGGAGCAACGATAACATCTGGATGATGATGACAGACCGTACGGAACGCATCCCCGCGATTATCAATGCGCGGAATAGATGTGTTATTATAATCGTCATTGTCTGCTTTCGGTTTAGTCTCAATGGTTTCAAAAAACATTTTACTAGTCGCTGCTCGATCGTACGCGAGTATTTTCGTTACATGTCTTGTAAACTGATTCTTTTCCCCTTGCCAGTTTCTACGTTCTAAATCCAGATTCGCATCAGTAATGTATGTCGAGTCGTTACCGGACGAAGATGCAGCTAGTAATTTACGACGATTGGTGATTGATGTCATTGCACTGGAAGTCACTTGTTCTATTTTGGTAGAATAATCACTAATATTAATACGATTGAATACTGGTTTAACATACGACTCTGTTACGTCTGACTCTGGGAAGTTCACGTTAACAATACCAGTTGATGCGTTGTCTTCAAGAAGCTCATTAGTAATATGATTATTGCAAGAGTCCGACAACATTGCTAATTCACGATTGCTCTTTGTGAATGCATCTCTAGACAACTTTCCGGATAATGGCGGGGTTCTATGTTTGATTACAGCCTGCTGGATTGAATCATAATCCGCCCGTTTTTGTTGTGGTGATTCGGAGAAAGAGCGCTGCTCTATCGACTTTCTAGTTTTCACGCTAGTGTTCCATGCAGGAAAGATCGCCGGCAGTTTTGCGTGTTTGATCAGATTTGCACTCGCCGCTATGTACAATGATGGGTGTCTATATGAGAAGATAGGATGTCTAATAGATTTCTGTGGTGTTACTTGCAGGGACCGTTCACACTGTTTGTGAACTACAGGTCCAACTGACATGTAGTAAATGAGAGATTGCGTTATTGCATACAGTTCATAAATGAACAGTATTATCGCTAGTTTCAGCGCACAAACGCTGTTGAAGCTTGTGGCCAGTACAGCGCTTATGTGTACTTCGGACAGTGCGATAATTTCTACGTAGTAATCATAATGGAAGAATAGAAAAGAGGTAGTGGCAATACATATGAGTATCACTCGTGTTAGAAGTATTCTACTTGTCGCTTTGGTGGTTGTTCGGACTGTGTTGTGTCTTGTAGCGAGTGGCATGGCCATTAAGCGCAAGGGTTGTGTCGCATTTGTATATTCTAGTTGTGCGTAGTTTATCTATATGTTCATATATACAAGAAGGTACAGTATTTAAACGATGTTATTTAAAGGAATTGGAGAATTGATAATTGTTCGATATTTTAATTGGAAATGCGTGGGACGAATGCGGTCTCTGTGGGACAGTTTTCACTGTTCGATAATCAGGGCAATTGGTCAGTGTTCAGCGCAAAAGCGTGTTACTATGGTACATAAGAACAGCAGACACTAGAAATCAGCAAGCTTCAAAAGAAACTTTACGAGAGCGTTGTACACCAACAAGAGTCGTGATCATACTATAACAATTACGTAAAATAGACTCTCTTTGTTAGTTTGCTTAATGCGTATTTGTGTTTGTTTGTTTAGAACACAAAAGGAAATTTTACCACATTGTGTATGAGAAAGTTACATGGGCTGAAATGATAGCGGCAGGCCAAGCAGAAAGTAACGCCCTAATTCTCTTTCGTGTAACCTGTATTTTTCTCGATATTAATATAGGCGGCTTTGTAGAAAATAGAAGATATCAATATTATACAAAGTATTATATAGTAAATTGATAAGTTTAGACAGATCTCAACAGCATATCAACATTTACATTTAGCGAAGAAACCATTTTGTTGAACCTTCCTTGTTAGTGCTATTATAATTTTCGGAATATTGAAATTTTACAGCAGCGAATTTGTTATTCAGAGACGAACACCGTTCGTTGGCGCTTGTCAGTTAACACGTACATCTATCCTGTTATTAAATAGTATTGCGTGTATGTATAAATGACTGAACTATCGTATTGAAATTACTTCATCATCAATGGAATATTCATACTTTTGATTATTAAATGATTTACTTTATTCATTATTAATTATGTTTAGTCGTCTGCCTATACGAACGAACTAATTACTTACCTTGCCAATTAATAGTAGATTAACTGCTTGGTCGACTGGTTAGATATTGAAAGATTAATCCACAAAGAAAAGCGGTGATAATTCCAGTCCGTCGCAGTGCGTCTCAGAATTACATATCAAAATAATCGATCGAAAGTTTTTTTTTACCTCCCGAATTTATCGATTAACCTGCTGTCGTTGTTCACATCAATTACGGACCCCTTTCTGCAGTTCATTAACTCTGGAAGTTAGCTCATTATCGTACGCTTTAACATGCCACAAATTAGTTTCTCTATAGCAATCATATAATGCGGGGAAGGACTAAAAGACGCGAAAGGAGTCTCTGGACGTGGACGCAAAAACTTGTGTTAACCTAACTACTGACGTAATAATAACGTTCAACTGATACCAATTTCCCATATACAAAAATAATTGTGGTTTACATGGGAGGGCATCTCTCCGTGAGGTAAAAGCCTTTCCTTACATCACGATAAATCATAAAACCGACTTATTTCCTGAATTCCACCATTAAAATTCTTGCAAAAAAAAAAATAATGTAATTAATCTAAACCTTATCAAAACGCGTGAACTATCATAAAAATAAGATTAAACAAAAAGTCTAAAAATATTGAAGAGTTAAAGCAGTTTTTAATGAAGCGGTTCCACTGTCAGGATGTAGCCAGTCAGTCAAAAGCCCGTTGTGAACTTGTTTTAGTGATGATGGAGATAAAATTGATAAATTTCTTTTATTTGCTCAAAAAAAGTATATGAACCATCGTCTCTTGAATGGTATCAAAATTCATAAGCGGGAATAAAGAACGATGTTCACCTCAGAACAATTTCAAGTTAACCCATCAAAAGCTTTCTCGTATTGGTCGTTCCCAAAAGTGTGCCAGCTTACAGATGATTCTTCATTATCGGTATTTCCGCTTTTCACTTGCCGCAAAAATTGAAAGACCAGAAGTACTTAAGATCTTATAACCGAACTGAAGGCCTGTCTCAAGACCATTTCAATCAACGGAAATGAAATCGCAATATGTGTGTTCATGCTTGGCTGCTGGTGCGAAGGCAAGTTTGAGCTCTGGCCAGAAAAAATATCACAGGGCCCCATGAACATGTCCAGTGGATTTTGCAGTAGACTTGCTCCAAACTGCCAAACTGTCGGCGAAACAGAACGATCAAGAAAGGCCGATATCGAAACCGGTAGTTGTTGTGTATAATAAGAATATGATGGTTGAAAGAGTTCTAGGCTATTTTGTTTGGTTATTGGAAGAGGTACAGAAACCGAATTCAGTTGTTACCATGGTAACGGGAAGCAGTAAAAAGCACCAGTCTTGCGGGAAAAGTTAGAATCCCATCTCCCAAAGTTAGTGGAAAAAAATATTTTAGGGTAGGAGTAAGGGAGCTTTATTTAGCATAGAAATTCGTTATATACTAAAGGCAAATTCCCGATCCTTTGTATTTATTTTTCGCGTGTTTTATCACCATCTTGTAAAGTTTCGTTTACATTTTTATAAAAGAAATAAGTCGTTAAGATATCATTCATTCCTGACTGTTTTGGCAGTTTCATGTTTGTTAGCATAATTACTCGCGAAGAAGCTAGAAATAATTGATACGGCGCATTCTTCCTATACCAAAGACTATATCTCAATCGCGAAGAGATTGTTAAACACCTATCAAAACATCACCATGATCACAAAGGAAATTTGACTTGCGATGTTTAAAAAGATCAAAAAATTACGTGTGGCGCAACACCATGTATTTGGGAAGACGCGTCTTTGTAATTGAAGCTTTGGCGACTAAATGCTGCTAACGAAATAAATTGGGCAGTAAGCTTTTAATATGATGGACGATCATGTTAACGGTTCAAAAAAAGAACAACATGCTTCATAGATCGTAATAATAAACGACAATGATAGTAGTCCATTGAATTGTCCTAAATGCAATATTATTGGCGATTAATATAAGCACACACGTAGTAGTAAATTCTTTCGGCAGGCAAGTGACGAGCGAGAGTGTGCATTTACATAGACGCAAATTACGGAAGGATTAATTTACGAAGATGAATATCGTGTGTTAACATTCTCCAGAAATAACCTTACAACGTCTTAATCATAAACTGAGGTTTCTTGTAATCAAAATTCCACATGAATTTTGTGCTTGTATTTAAACTCGATCTGCTCGTTGAAAAACCAATTAAAGCCCATAAGACGTTTCAATTGATAAAATGCATAGACTTTCTCCGATATCAACTTGACGAAACGACTTTAATATGTATTCTCCGATGTTAATTAATGCTGTTTCGACTAGTGCAGGATTATCAAGTTCACCAAGAAAATCTCCACCTCTTTTCCCAATTTCGACTCTTCCAGGCGTCTTGCATTTTCTGCTGGGATTGACAGAGAGCAAGTTATGCAAGAGCTGAATTTGCCTTCTTCCTCTACCACACGAGAACCACCTGTAAGCAGTGACTCCTCATACTTGATACGTGCCGTGACGATACTTCCGTACTTCTCTCATTAACATGAAAGTGAACAGAATCTCGTCTTACGCTATGTCGCTACAATGATGACATTCCAATTCTTTTGACTGACTAGTGATTCGCGACAAAGCTCATGCATTGTTCACTGTCAACAGCCATTGAACTATTAAGATAATTACTAGTGTTAACGTCAAAGTACGAGAATTTGTAAAACACAAGTTATTCTACTGTAAGTTCAGTGTAACTATGACTATTTGACGATTAACACTGTGGACGGATACTTCAAGACGAAGATCAATATTCCACTCTAACGTGCGTAATTTACTTTCATCATAACAAATAATGAAGCGCATGAAAGCAACCACAAATACCTGTTGTCTCATAATGCATCATTCCCCTGCTTTGTGGTATATCAATTTCTCTTCAAATCTTTCGGCGGATGATGCAGCCTCGTATGAAACATGGCACGGAAAAAACCAGAAAAGTTGTAGTAGAATACAGATAGCGAGAGGCTGATATCAAAAAAAATTTATCAATTTACTGTGTGATCTCCGAGATTATGCAATGTCATTGGTCCAGCTTCGTTACAAGCTTGCGCATATAAAGTTTTAATTTATGGTAGTTGTTTGTGCTGTTAGATGTACCATTTCTGAACGTTTAAACTCTGGCCATGAAATTATAATTAGGACTGTATTTACTACTACTATTAATCATTGCCAAGCAGCTTTAATAGGTTTCTTTTATCTTTCTGATCATGCTGTTCCAACGATATTTACAAAAACCACAAAAAATGCTGACTGTTTGGATTATATCATTTACCAATTATATTTTGATAAAGCTGTTTTTATTTTTTGCAAGTACTTGGAATAACAAACTTCAATTACAAATACTCGCCGCCGCATTTCTGTTTAAATCTAAGAAATGCAAAACTTTCACAGCTACTAAAACCAGCAATTAAAAAATTCCTAGCTGTTTTAAAGTAAATGCATTATTATATGTTACCTATTGGAGTATCTAAGGATAAAATCTATATATTAATATCATTATTCCGAATTATTATCAATCCAACTTTTGAGACACAGACTCGCTCGCACAGTCTCAGGATCGAGTTGATTGCTCTTATCAGTGGTAGTATTACCTGCAATATAAATAGAAAAGCTTCTATGAATGTAGGAGGTAATCACGTGCAATACAGGATATTCATTCGAGCCTTCACATCACCAATTCATATCGATTTAGTTCTTGATCAATTGGGCTTAAAACAGACAACTCAGGTTTCAATTCAGATTCACTAATCTTTTCTTCATAGCTGGTGGAAGAAGGAGAAGTTACTGATTGCTCTAACTCTGCTTCGTGGTTTGGTGTATATCATAGTTGTGTTTTACGCACATCAATCGTGCCGGTAGAGATGGATGTGAAAGAAATAGTAGAAGATCAAAAAAAAAGAAAACTTGTGACGGGATCTGCATGTACGCAATGACACTTTACAATATGCTGACGATGCAATAATTTATTAAAAATTAACTCGTTGCAAACATGTACAAAGATGTAGATGTAGATGTAGATGTATATATTATATAAAATGGTGTTTTCAATAATGTCCAAAAATTAAAAAGATTTACAATGAATGCAATAATTACTTGACAAGAATATTCGATTCTCCTTCACCATTACTTATTTCAGTTTTCACAATAGTCTTTTGCTCACCAGTTTTGCGATACCGCTTCATGAACGATCTATCCGACGTCCAAACACAAGCTCCCAGCGCAATTCCCAATTCAACACCGACTTCGAGGGGCCTTAGTACAAACCTACTCGAATTAGGATTCGATCGCCAAACGTTAATTCCAGCTGCCTGAAACACGTCTGTAATCATCCTTCCCAAATCTTCAGCATTAGCATCAGGATACGGTCGCATAGGCGCAAGGAATAATTTCCCTTTATGTGCTCTTCCCGCCCTAAACGGATCACTCTGTTTCAACAATTGCTTCGTAGCATAGACCGGACACAAATCTTTATCTTCCTTGTATGCGAATATCGTTCCTGAAGACTTGGAAATGCCAGACTTCCTCCGACTAGCCGTAAACTGCATCGCATCAGGCCACACAGTGTCGCCAATGAAGTCTACGGAATCGGCCACTATACATCCGAGATCAGAATCCGAATACCACATGGTAACCAAAGCAATAAGCATCAACGCCTTGTTCGATAATAAAGTAAACGAGAGTTGCTCTGTTGGGCCCCATCGTTTGAAAAGGTTAAGTATTTTCTTGATATTCCACGGTTTATGCAATAATGCTGGCTCTACAGGTAGTATTTCAACTCGCTGATGAACATTGACACGCGAATTACGAGCGGAATCGAACGATTTTGTTCGTCCTTTTGGCATTGATAATGCGAGTGTGCGTGCAGAAACTTTAGTTGACGCACTCGATGATCTGCGCTCTTTCGCTGATTTTGTCTGAGATGGGTCACGAGAAGAGCTTCTGGAACTATTGTGCGATTTTCTCTGGAGTCTAGGGCTTGCCGATAGAGTTCTCTTTGGCCGACTTTGTTTCGATTCTGGATGCAGCATCTCTGACTGAAGTTCAGATATCTCTACTTCGTCTTCATCGACTTCAGACAAAGTTTCAGGTATTACCACCGACGGTTCGAATCGAGGCGAGTCTAACGGACTAACATCACAACACGACTTTGAGTCAACACTGGAAACATCGGACCAGATTTGTTCGTTTGAAATAGAATTTGCGGATGAAGTTGTAGTAGACTGGGAACTTTCCAACGCAGGCGTTTCAGTTGTAAGCGACTTTTGCGACGTCAAAGAAGGTGAGGTGGGTCCTGGTGGTTGATCATCGGTGATGAACAAATCCGGAGGTGTTTGCAAAGTGACGGGACTTGTATCTGCCGTGTTTGGGTCATTGGATTGTATTGGTTGTTCAGATGCTTTTGGAGAAGGAGGATTGGATAAATCTGAAATTTTGTCTGATATTTCTTCAGTCTTTTGTGGCTCATCCACCTTCTCTGTTTTCTCTTCGCTAGTTTGATCAGTCACATCGTCAGTGCTAACCTCTACGGGTTTGTCCTGGTTTGTGTCTGTGGAATCTATAGTACTTGTCGCTTGTTCTATTGGTTTGGGCGATTCTGATCTTGGGACGTATGTGCTCGGTGAATCAGATTCCAGTGACGGCGAAAGGATCCTATTAATATCGGGCGCCGGTGATGAGCTATCCCTTTTTAGTGTATGATGTCCAATATAAGATCCTGCAAGAAAAGTAACAAAAATGTTACGCTTGTGACTTATTGTCATTAAATGTGCAAAACTAGTAATTACCTGTTTTTACGACCATGTTCATGTCTGGTGCATTAGTTTGCGACTGTGCAAATCGCTTTCTAAGAGTTTCTACTAATCCGCCTTTATTCGATTGTCCGCCGATGTTCTTAAAGTCATCTTGTGATTGTGAAAATCTTTTCTTCAAATTCTCAATATTGCCTTCAAAATTTGTCCGAAAGTTAATGATTATCACATGGTGAAGTACCCAAACGGAAGAATCGCTTTCAAATGCTCACCAGCCCTTATAACCGGCTTCTCAAACGGTTTATTTGACTCGGGAGGTTGTAACGAGAAGCGTTTTTTGACTATTTCCACAGAGCCTGTATACATGTTTCAAACCTGTTGAGTTCTGCCGACTTGCAAAATACGAAATTTTGAAAATCTGTAATACACTTACTACTTCTGGGAATGAAAATTGAATCCGATTTTGGTAATGATAGTCTTTTTGCAAGCGACTCGACTGTTGAGGGAATTAGGATTGTGAGCTAACAATAAGTAATTGCGATGCGTTAATTCTTATTCAAAGACTACCTGTTGGTGACGAAGCCGTGCTCGAATTGGTTGATGTCGGACTTTTTGGTAGGTTTATGGTTTCTAGTTGAGGTAGAGAAATCGTTTTTATGTCTTCATTCATGGGAATGCGATAGGATTTATAACCAAAAGGCAAGCATTCAGAGAAATCGTTAGTTTATAAGCGAGAAGAAAAAGCATGAATAAGGACGAATCCGTTAATCCCAATAAATTTACCATTGAGTTTATTTACAGAGTCAATGCGTGGTGATGTCGGTATATCTGTTCGGATTGCACATATGTTCAACAAAACAGCGGATAAGCCAACAGTTGTGAGGCAAAGCAAAAAATTACCACTAGTCTTACCTTCAAATCCATTAATATTAAGCTTTCCGATCTGTTTTGTAACTTCTTCTTCATCTGAATGGGAATGACCGATATTAGCGCTATGCATGCAAATATCAGTCAATTGTCCAGTAAACCCGGCTTACCATCATCCGCACGCAGAACAGGCATACATAATGGATCATTTATATTTTTTGGTTCTGGTAGATTCTTAAACTTTAACAATCGGCTCGTATACGATGCATTCGGATGAACGTTATAGCTCCCGGATACATGCATAGTATTTCTCTTTCCGTCCGATTCTTTAAACTGTGAAGCTATCTTTGATCCCAACTGATGCATCGACTCGCACCACTCCCCAAGCACTTCAACTAGATATGTAGCTGTTGGTCGCTCCTCAGGACGTGCGTCCCAACATCTGTTCATAAGCACTGCATAACATTCAGGAGTCCCGTCAACAATTTTGGGTCTAACTCCATCGCAAATATCGAGTGCTAACAAAAAGTTGTGTCCTCGGTTAGCAAATGGTCGTTCACCAGATGCCACCTCCCACATGATGGTTCCAAAGCTGTATACGTCTGCTGCTAGTGAATGCGGTTTATCGTGAAGTAGTTCTGGAGCTACATATGGAAGAACTCCGTGTGTCTTTGCCTTGTTGTATCGGGACGATTCGTCCGCCGGTCGACATAGGCCAACGTCACTTATCACATATGAATTGTTATTGTATAAGATGTTTCCACTGTGAAAGTCACCATGTATCAGATTCGCATTATGAATTTCAGCGAGACCACGCGCTATTTCCGTGATTATATAAAGTTTGTCTTCCCAAACAAGAGTGTGATATTTCTGGTCCAGAAATGTACGAAGGCTTCCCTCTGGTATGTATTGGACCGCCAATACAAATTCCTTTGTAGAAGGGTCTTTGGTAATTCCATAGTATCTCAATAGTCTTTTTGAATCGATTCGGTGTTTGAGGCCGGAGATCTAGTACGCATAAAAGCGGAAATGATAATTAGCAGAGTGATAATGACAAAATATACAACCTTTTGTTTGTATTATTGTATATGGCGTTTATTATCAGCCATACTGATCGACTTATTAAATCATTTGTATGGTGTCATTACCTCATTCAAATATTCATCAGTGATCTTTTGTGAATTATTCAACGTTTTTAAAACGACGGGTGTTTGTCCTGCTCTTTTCCATTGATTTCGTGATTTGTCCCAGAAGACTATCGGGCCTTCTGTCCACACGGCCGACGACACAATGCTGAATCCACCTTTCGTTATATATGAAATACTTTCGAACTGGCAGTGCGGTATCCATTCTATGAAATCGGTTTTCTTTGTTGTATTCTGCTGAGATAATCTGATAAAGTTGTCAATATCGGAATGTTCACAGGTCCAACTACTATTTTCCTTCAAGCGGGCGGAATCACACTGAGCGCACCAGTTATAGTCTGCACGCAGTATTCCGCAGTCTTCACAACGACCATGCGTGAGTATTTCACTGCTTGACCGCGTGGTATTTTCGGTGAGGGGTGGTATTTCGTCGATATGTGCAGAATCTTTTTCTAGAAGGTACATTCTTGGTGTAGTATACGAGGAGAAAGGATAAAAAGTGACTTTTGAATACAAAATAGTTAATATTCAATATCCAGATATTTATGAAAGCCAGGAAGTTTAGGGCTTTGGGATGGTTAAGAATCATTAATAATCACAGGGGCGTACGCAGTTTAATCCCAAATAATTCAGCTAAATGATAAATGGGTTGTATAATAATGATGATTGATGAGCACGGTCGAATTAATCATTGTATTTACAAATTCTTTCTCCCGATAAGTTGGAAACTACATCCGAAGTAATAGCTAAATACGGATAGAGACCAATCAGAAGGCATTCTTTTTATTAGACAAACATAGTATACGGTTACATAAAATGCATTTAATTTAGAATGAGGTGTGAAGGCGGGTCTTTAGTATAGCTGATGATGTTATTACTGTATGACCTCGTCTCCCTCGTTTCGAACGGTGGTGTAAAATAGCATGGAGATGATCGTTGAATGCCGACCAACACATTAGGTAAGCGATAAAAAAAAAACTGCAAGTCAATATTTATCTACCTAACTACGTTTGCTACCCGAAATAGAGTCAAAAGATGCTATAAATAACTTTCTTCTTTCAACTCCCTTTTTAATCTATTGTAACACGTTGTCTCTTACCCCTTTGTGTTGGTCAACATATCTAATTATAAACGTTAACGTTCCGTTAACAATACTTGAATCCTTGGGTCCAATGTTGAACTATCATTATTTTTGGTGGCGACTACCAATAGTCTTGTACTTATTTATATGCCGCTGTTAGTAACCCCAATCACGTCACACAAGCTTTACTTGTTCTACAGAATTATAGACTGTATACTTGTGGAAGGTAGTTTCATTCCAAAACTTTAAAAATAAAGACAATGTGTGACCAGTTTATGGCTGAGGATTTGAATGCCCATGTTGAGTGAACGGGGGGGGAAGGAGGCAACAGTTTTGTCATACATGGTTTGATGATGATGAAGAATAATTTTCTTGTTACAGATTATCGAAAAACTCGAACTCGGGTGTTTCTGGGAAAAAAAGTTCTATTTCGTACACTTACGGCGAACGGGAGACATTTTCCCGGAGCAATAAGATTTACAGACTTCGAAATTCCCAATTGTTTAATGTGGCGGTACACATCCAAAGTCACTGTGAATTCTTACCCCATATTAAACTAATAACATTCGCACCGCAGTATCTGTGAATAGAATGTTTTAGTCATTCTCACGATTCGGATAATGAAAATATGTTTGTTCAATTAACCTTGCTATTACCATTGCTAATGGAAAAAAGATAGGCCCAATCAATCTGGAGCCTTTAAGATATCGGCAGTGTTACAAACATTATATATTGTCAACTCATACTCAAGGGAAATTACCATACCTGAAGGGTTTTAGCCGATCATTTGATGATCATTTTCATTAGTGAAGACTAGTATACTAAGAGTCACTTTACGAATTGCAAAAAACTATCTCTAGAGTTTATGCCAAGGAAAAAAGCGAAAAATTAGAATTGTGTGCAACATATCAATCATTATTATCTGCATTTGAGATTATGGCAATCAGGTGATGTCACTTGGACGCCAAAATTAGTAAAATGTAAATAGCTGATCTTGAGTTCTTTTTTAGGGACAGCTTTTCATTTCCGATATAAAAGTTTTGGGAGCAAACACCCCAGCATCTAGAATCCCCGACAACCACCATTCTCTCCACCGTCCCAAGTCTGCTCCGTCCCACATAACCAGTCACAAGCTAGTTTATTCCCACTCCCCTCTTTGCATCCGGACTGAATAGGATAAATTATATATAGCTTATGCACCGCTGTTCTCTCCTGTAACATGCTAAAACTAGAATTAGCGCGTTCTCGTAACACCACCGATAACAGTGTCTTTTGAAAATCATAGCAATAATTGTGGTACACTCACAACTGTATGCTAACTGTGATGATAAGGTTTTTTTCAATCAATATTCCAACAAAAGAAACAGTCAACAAATAAAAATAAAAAAGTATTTGCTCTGCCTTATTAATTCATAGCAATCCATTATTGATCAATGTGCCCACCTGAGATTATCTTTTCCCAACAATCAAGAGCTTGATTAAAGATAATAGTAACAATTCATATTATTTTAATACGAGTTTTCCACGTGACAATGAATATGCTCCGATCACAAATTACTATAAGAAATAGTGTACAGTTGTTATAATTTTAGATATCCAATAAAATAATATTAAATTATTGGGGTATTAAAACCTCATCTAAATACCCAGGAAAAATAAATACCACCTCCCCCACCACAATCAACAAACGCTTCATTTGTGAAAAAGCCACACATTGTGATAGACGAATGCGTTAAAAGTGAGGCATTTCCACCGTCAAACAAAATACACTAACAAAGTATAGTCAACCGCAAAACCGAATGACACTAATAAACAGAAGAAGCATCTGACGCTCAATTTTTTGGGTAAACACGTTTGATTTTCGACTTGTAAACTATATTATTGGGCAACATTTCTCATCTCTATGATGATTGGACGTGCTGTGTTATGGCGAAAAAAGTTGTTCAGTGGAGACAAAAGGTCATTCAAAAAGCAAGACATTTACGAACATTCTGTCGATGATTATTCTGCACAATCACCAAATCGTGGCACAAGTGTAGACAAATATAACATCATTGATGGTATATCCCAAACATCGCCTGAACGAATTTGCAATTATTCCAGTTTCACACGCTTGGATACTCAACAAGATAACAGCAAATATCAATATCAAGACAAGTTTCCTCTAGGCAAATTTACTGACGACAAATTTCCTGTGTACAAGTGCGCCAATGTCAACCGACGAATAACTAGAGCCTTCACTGATTCTGCGCTGAGCACCGCTATGAATAGCTCTCGCAGTAAAAAAGCGGACGACTCTAAGGCCAAACGTCATTCTGTCTCTCCGCGGAAATCAATCGTCTTATCAAACGACGTTGTCATAAATAGTATTGTCACCACCACCTCTCAGACTAACGGCACGTCTACCCCACATAAACATAAATTAGTAAATAATTCTCCGAAAAAGACTAGTTTTAAAAAGGAAGGTGCCGTGATGACCACCGAACCGGAAGACATTTCGGACGCTGAGAAAGAGACCATGCCGGAAGACACACATTCAAACGCTTATCCCGAGGAAATATTTGTAGACAAGTCTCTACAAGAGGGAACTCCACTTTTAAAAGTGTCTGCAAAGAAAAAAATGCAGAGAATTTTCAGAATCGACGTTGGTCAAGGGAGAATACTATGGGATTCTAAAAAGTCCGGTAAAGGTAAGCAGACGATTTAATCGACGCATGCACTTATCGTGGTTAATTCTATTCACACTAATTCGTTGCAATAAACAGTCAACATCGAAAATATCAAAGAGGTTCGTATAAAAGAAGCGGCGCGATCTTATCGCGAGCTGTTTAAAGTGAGCGTCGACTTTGAACCTCGGTGGTTTACCATAGTCTATGTTGAAGCCGGCAAGTATAAAACACTTCATCTGGTAGCGACAACGAAATCGGATTTCGAAAAATGGGTAGACACGCTCGAACGTCTATATTTCCAACGGCGAGATATGATGGGAGGACTCGGTCATCTGCGTAAAAGACAGTCCATATGGCTAAAACAGCATTGGAAGCAAGCTGATAAAGATGGAAATTCCAAATTAAGCTTTGATGAAGTAGTCAGATTATGTCGACAGCTAAACATTCATATGTCGAAAAGTGTGTTAAAGGCCAAATTTGATGTATGATAATAATATATATAGCTTGAATTCATTGTGAAAAAAAAACAAACAAACAAACTAACTTGGATCTAAATGATAGGACGCAGACCGGAACAAAAATGGTTCTCTAGATTTTAAAGAATTTCAGCAGTTTGTAAAGTTCTTGAAGAAGAGAGACGAAGTAGAAGAACTGTTTACGAAATTGGCCGGATTCAATAATGATGTGCTAGCATATGGGCAATTCAAAGAATTTTTGGCAAACGTTCAAAAGGTACTAAAAAATACGCTTTTGTTTTTTTACAAAACATTTATTAACTCGACAAACAACAATAATTTAGATGGCATTGACAGAAAAAGAATATCGCACGCTTTACCACAAATTCAGTGATAAAGAGCGTGCGGCAATGACTTTGGAAGGTTTCAACACTTTCCTCGTGTCAAGCGACAATTCCATATTCGCACCTGAGCATAGTAAAATCTTCCAGGATATGAATCAGCCACTATCTCATTATTATATTAACTCGTCACATAATACGTAAGTTGTTCGTAATATTTATTTCTCTATTTATACCAGGCTTGCTAAATACTTGTGTAATTCTATAGATACCTACTTGGTCATCAGTTGAAGGGAGAATCATCGATTGAAGGCTACATACGAGCATTGCAACAGGGTTGCCGATGTGTCGAAAGTAAGTTTGCCTATATTTAGCGCATCGAATTTGTTTATTTGATATTGAGCCGATGCACTAATTCTCTCTCGTACATAGTTGACTGCTGGGATGGCACCGAAGGTCCAATAGTAACGCACGGACATACTTTGTGAGCAATCGGAATTAATCCTTGACAATGTCTCTTTGAATAATTGTTTGCCCTTAACGTTCTGACATATTGCTTTCATCTTAGCACATCCAAAATCCTATTTGCCGATGCTATAAATGCAATTCGTATATATGCATTCAAGGCGTCAAGTTATCCGTTAATACTCTCTCTCGAAGTACATTGTAATGTTGAACAGCAGACACAAATGGCATCAATTATACGAAGTATGCTTGGTGAATATCTCGTTGATTGGTTTATATCAGACAGCGAGGTAGAACTTCCCAGTCCTGCCGCACTTATGAATAAAATATTAATAAAGGTAATGATTATTCACAGTAGCGCCCACTCAGTAGATATTTTGTGCAGGAGTAAACTCATAATGTGCGCGTTTTACCACAGGGGAAGAACATCCCACCCGGTCATGAAGACTCGGCGACAGAATCTGAATCAACGACAGAGTCCGGATCTGATGTTGATTCGTCTAAAGGTAAAGCTTACTTAACGCTTTGGATATATATATTTTAGAACATATTTTGACTATGTATTTTATCGAATAGAATCCCAGGCTCGCTTAAAGAAACAGGAGAAGCTAAAGAAAAAACATAGACAACGCATAGCGCCAGCATTATCTGATCTCGTTAACTACTGTTCATCCGTGAAGTTCAAAGGATTTGATTATCATCGTACGTTATCTTTTATTAGCATCATCAAACATTATTAGAACGAAGCGCTAATTCTTCTTTGCTTTTATAGACATCGAACCCTTCTATCACATGTCTTCCTTTTCGGAAAGAGTGTCTGCTCGACTCATTAAATCAGACAGAAAGAACTTTCTTCGACATAATGTACGACATCTTAGTAGAATATATCCGGCCGGATTTCGAATAAATTCGTCAAACTATGAACCACAGCACCACTGGAACGCTGGAAATCAAATGGTGGCGCTCAACTGGCAAACGTTCGGTAAGCAGATAGTCGTTTGACTGATCGAGGTTGCTCGACGACTGTATAATGGCAACTTAATTTCAACAACCGTCTTTAATTTCACCGTTAGATCTTGGTATGCAAATCAATCAAGCAATGTTTATGGTGAATGGCAGATGTGGTTATATCCTCAAGCCAGAACGACTACGAAAATACGAATCCCTGACCACAAATGCATTGGCAACGACGACAACGTGGAAATTGACAATAGAGGTGAGATCTCGCAAGACATGTGGCTCTCGCTATTACACCGCTTCATATGTTTTCTAATCACCGTAACGTCTCCATCTATCAGATAATATCAGGCCAGCAGTTACCAAAACCCAAAGAACAAACAAAAGGAGAAATAGTCGACCCCTTTGTTGAAGTCGAATTGTTAGTTCCTGGCGCAGACGCTGTAAAATATAAAACAAAAACCGTTAACGATAATGGGTTTAATCCGATTTGGAAAGAAGCAGCCGATTTTACAATACATTTCAATGAGCTTAGTCTTGTATTTTTACGGTAAGCAACGATTTTGATGATTCGCGAGAGAATTAGTGAGACTTTTTGCTTAAATTGCTGGATCGAAAACTATAGATTTAGTGTATATGACGAAGACGTTCGTACTAGTGAATTCATTGCGTCGTATTGTATTCCTGTTGCAAGTCTACAACCTGGTAAGAAACATTCCCTAAATATCATTTGTGACAGTTTTTACGTTTCAAACTTCTCAATTTCATTATTTTTTTCATTCAGGATATCGTAATGTCCCGCTAAATGATGCGAATGGAGAGCAATATCTGTTTACTTCTTTGTATATATGTTCATCTATATCTCGAATTTAATAGATATCTTAATTATTGTTTACGCCGGGATCTTGTATAGACTACTATTTGTGTGTAATTATTCTAACTAATAAAAGAACTTGATGAGAACATTTAAGCATCATTTTCATGCTGTGTTACCAATATTGATAAATGCACGCATGTGCATAATAATAATAATAACAACAATAAAGGATCTGACATTTAACTTTTTGGATTGGCAACCATGACAGAACAAAAGAGTGAACAGATAACTAGAAAAGACGAAAGACACTCTGTGATAGAGGCCAAGCATTTCTCGTTGGTTAGGCAAGTTATTTATCAAGTATTGTTGAACAATTTCTTTAGTGTGTTAATTATAATAGCTTGTGTTCATACGTATTCCAAACTATAAAGAAACTTCCATCTTGCTGATTTTATAACACTGGGAAATGGTTCATGTGGATCTTTCGCTATATTCGCGAATATGCAATATGTGGCCACGGACGACATTAGCTACATTTGGCTCGGGATACTTCTCATTGCATGTGGCCTTTTCTTTGACGTTATGGATGGGAAGGTAGCAAGATGGAGGAAGAATTCTAGTATTTTGGGACAAGAATTGGACTCGCTGGCTGACTTGGTAATGTCTTATCAATGCAACGTGTAATAGATTAACGCTGTTACAATTGCGACTTAATTGTAATCTCGGTTTTTCTTCGCGCATACTAGATATCTTTTGGCATGGCTCCAGCAACTTTAGCATTCGCAATTGGAATGCGTTCCTTCTTAGATGTTATCGTTCTTGCTGTATTCGTCTCGTGTGGCATTGCCCGACTTGCTCGATATAATGCGACAGTAGCTTCTATTCCCAAGGATTCTTCTGGAAAGATACAATATTTTGAAGGAACGCCCATTCCAATATCTCTTGTCCTTGTTACTGCTATCGCATTTTTCGCATATAATGAAAGACTGAATGACAATCTGCCCGGAGGGCTTTCTCATGTTGTGAATGGAGTTGAATTTCATCCGTTCGTTCTACTATATGCATTACTTGGAACTGGGATGGTTAGCAAAACACTAAAGATTCCGAAAATTTAGGTTTCGAAAGTAAACCAAAGTGACATCTATCAAAAGTGAGTGATTTTAATTGACATTGATTTAATAAAAAAGAAAGTGACGTGACGAATAAAGAAGTGACTGTAATAAAAAAGAGAATAAAAAACTCAACTAAATAAAAAACTATATGAAAAAATTTGACAGAGTAAAGAAGCCTAACAAAATGACTGAACGAAAACGATGAATTCAATAATTAAAAAAAAAAAAAAAAGGAAGATGAACGCATATTTACAGCTTATACCCCGCAAGTCTTACCAGAGAAATCTTGCCTATCAATAAATATGGTTAAAACAAAGAAAATCTTTACATCTACTTATGTTGCATACATCGGGGTTGATCAAATATTCTTTTCTTGTTCATCCTCTGCATTCACGCCATGAACACGGAAGCGGTATAAACATGTATACATTGGATTATCCCAATTACTATTGATTTTCAAGAGAATTCCTTTGATAGGCTTTTTCAATCGCCGCGCACTCTCTGACAACTCGAACGTCTGCACAGGACGACCATTTATGTCATACCTAAATTGACCAAGAGGTACGTGGCTTGGAAGGGATCCGAGTTCAAATTTACCTCCTCCCGTGATACTTGCAATACTAGGATCTTTTAGATCTTCTATGGTGGCAGCGTCGGCATCGGTAACTAATTCTGACGGTCCAGGTTGGTCATCACGCTGTATGTTACCTCCATCGTCATCTATGAATCCCCAAACTTCAAAATCTTTAGGGGCGCTGCTCGCATCCGTTGTTGCATGTTTACTGATATGATCATATGTGACGGCTGTTGGGTATATTCGTCGACTAAGTAAAATCCCGAGTTGACCTTGATTGCCGGAGAATGGCCAGCATTGACCAACATGGGTATCAGGCAGGATGGCAGTAACTAACACGATCGAAATATGGCAAAAACAAACAACTTAGTATAATAAACCGCAATATAATTCACAGTTGAGCGTAAGCGACATACCTGGAGGTTTCCCTCTCACTGTCCCGAAATTGACAGTTTGGGCAATCAATCTCTGAAATGTTGATTCTGGGTATAAAACGAATGTCCTCGATGTAATCGGCCCAATGATTTTGGCTCCAGCTGGACGCAGAGCATAATCAGTCTTGCCGACTAAATCATCCTCAAAAGCAGCCAATTTTTTTTTCATTATATCGCTCGTTTCGCTTCTTATCATACCTATCACGTTATCATCTTTGATATCGATCGTTCTAGCAGAATCGTAGGCTTCCGAAAACTCTTGTGCTGCTTCATCTGTGAATCTACTCTTAATCTCAGCAGCAACGAGAGCTCTAATGATTGTTCTTAAATGAGGACCCTTCATGTCGGCATCATCCTTGATGACGACCTGACGCGTCACTGCAGCAACTACAGCCCGCGAAAAAATTTCATCATCATAACCTGGAGAATGTCTACTAAGCAATTCAATTGGAGCATTGGAATTGGCAGTCCAAAGTAACCAAACAATAGATGCAATTGAAATAATAGTAACGAGTATGCGACGTAGGCGAGATCGCTCATAACGTTGCAAATAAGGTGTATGCGATCGGTGTCTTAAACAAATTATTATAGTTTGCACTTTATCTCGCCAAATACACAGTACGTTCAGCAGCCTGGGTGAACTGCTTATCGACTTGACTTGTTCGTCTCCTATTGGTTTATCATCAGACAAATCTTTGATCGTATTTTCCACAGGATCAGTCGGACGATTGGTTTTCTCGTTGCCATTTAAAAAAGTCTTTAGATCATCGTCATAACAACTTCTCACAGTTAGCTCACTCTGTGAGCGAACGTTGAATTTTGAGAAATCGTCTTCACGAGGCGTACGTGGGTAAATCGACCCCAAGTCCGAGTCGGTCTCGCCTGCAGACATGCTAATATCAGAAGATTATTGCATAAAAATTCGTTTGTTAAATGTACCGCGATCAAATAACATACTGGGAGTATACCTTGCTTTCAAACTGCATATAGTTTCTTCAGGCGAAAAACCTTTATATGTTTCTTCGGCCAACATACCCTCGTAATATGTCTTGAATTGTCTCAGGGGAGGAATATAATGTACACTCACAGGCTTGAGATCACTCTCTGTTTTGGACATAATTGGTATCCCGGAGCTTTCCTTACTCTTTGCATAATAACTCGAGTTGTCCGTAAACGAATGTTTATCCACCGGTTTATTCATAATGTTCTGGTAGAATAAATTATCCTTGGTGTCCATTTTTTCGTTTAAATTAAACAACCAAGAACTTCAACAATAATGTTTCATCCCCACCTTTTTTAACGCAATAATTTTCCCACCAAGAAACGCGGATTTCCCAGCTCTCACCATATAGAAACGCGTCGGTAAGATCTTGAAACACTCGGGTAGGTAACAAATGTCATGCATAAGGAGATTGGCACGAGGTCAATTGTCAGAAATAGAACGAGAAGATGCCACATGAGAATAATTCTTGGCTAAATTGAGGAAATGAAAATAATTGCTTATCTCCGGGAGAATCTGGTATTTTATATTGGCACTTTTGACAAAGCCAAAGAGGGAAGACGGAACAATAGTTTTTTGCTTTGTTGACAGTATTCTGGTTATTTGATTGATTGTTGTACTACATATACTATTTCGAAAACAATGCTCTTTGACTGCGCACATGGCAAATCGCGCATTACAAGGTTTAGTTACAAACACAAGAAACTTTATTACTCGTGTTAGTACGAGCGCAGTACTTTACGTGTCGGATCTCCCTAAATTTGCAATCTCATTAATATTAACAAATCGCAAGTAGCATTGCCTAATCCTAAGAACACAAACTCTCGTTCGGGAACTGATTTGAATACAGTGAAGCGAATATTACCGTTCACACTTACAGCGAAGACAATTTTTAAAATTTATAGAAATTAAAGTAACATGTCACAATAGAAACTAAGCACCAAAGGTAATTAGAATATTTTGGTTTATGCATGAATATTAAGTATATGTCTTTATTAAACCATAAGATTATACTATCGATACAATAACAACTCCAACTATTTAATACAGCTACATATTTGCTTTGACCTTGTTTCGTCCAGTAGTAGAAAAATGATACTGAACGCTATCTATTTGAAAAGCAATCCCGACAGGAATGACCCAGAAACTCTTGTTAGTCAAAATCGGCCACCACTAACACATGACCATGAATAACGGATGCTTTGAAGACGTTTCTACAATTCAAAAGCATTTCCATGTTTGGAAATTAGCGATAACGCCTTGATGTGCGTTCTTACACCTAATCCGTAAGTTTATCAAAGCCATTTATATAAGTTATACCGTCATTGATTTCAACATAAAAAGCAAAAAAAGGCGGGGAAACTGTAACTTTACCCATCATGGTTCGCAATGTTGCTGTTAACATATGCACAACTTTATTTAACGATGCAATAAGCTTTCATAGCGAGGCGTTTAACTAGATTCGATCTTCGTCTCACGTAGAAAATGCTCTGCACGAGCCAAATGCGTCCAGTAACACAATGCCACCGATCTTTGAACCATTATGGACCTGACCAGCGTAGATAGACTTTTTCTTAGCATGCAAAGTTTAACGAGACAGGTGGTTCAATAACTTGACATGTGTTTGGAGATTACGGCGATAAGGCCAGACTAGTATCCTAATTTTAGGTTAATCCAAGCAAAAGCCGACTGCAAGCAAATCGTGTATGACAGCTATTAGCCCGACTGCCGTCACCTAAGGCGTTCCCGATTTGGAATGTGTAACCCTGCATCATCATCGAACAAATAATTCCTGATTATCTGCTCATCTGGGCTTTTGGTTAATGCAGGTCTGATTGGGCGATCGACGATATTTCACTAATTATGGCCGGTGAGAAAAAAAATATCCAACCTTGCCAAAAAGTGATGGTGGATGTCACTCTCCCTACAATATGTCATAGTCATAACAGTCTAACTCTTTTTGTTTGCTATTACGTTGAATTGATTCGTGTGTGAATGTCCGTAATTACATTTATTATCCTGTGGTGGGACATTGGCTCTCCTAAGCACTTTATTATCGGGAAACTGCTCAATCCAAGTGTGCTTGCGAGGTGTGGAGCGAGAATAAGAAGGGAATATGTCGAATAGGATTTTGATAAGGAAAAACAAAGTTACCTTGCCCAAACCTCCTTTGGTGATAGGCCGAGGAATTATGGGCGAGGTATGTCTCGCGACGTTTCAAGGAAAGATGGTGGTCGTAAAGAAGAGTACTGTAATTATCCATTTAATAAGTCAGCATTAATTCTTTTCTATTGTTTTGCGTACATGGCTTGTAAGTGTCGTAATAGAACTACGATACGTTTCCCTCTTCCTAATTTTATTATATTTTGCATTACAGAGGGAAATCGACGTGCTTCTTCAAGAATATAGCAATTACGCTAAATTACAGAAGCATAATAACATTCTCAAATTTTACGGAGTTATCAGAGATGACCGCCACTCGTTCTCTCTTGTGCTCGAATATGCATCAAATGGCAATTTATCTTCGTATCTAAAAACGCATACAGTCTGTTGGGAATGGAAGGCACGAATATGTCGAGATATTTGTCTCGGGTTGATGCATTGTCACGAAAACAACGTATTGCATTTTGACTTGAAGCCAGAGAACATTTTGTTGAACGAAGATTTAGTACCAAAGTTGTCTGATTTCGGTATATCGAAGACAAAGAGCAAAATGGTGCTCGACCACCATAGTGCAGGGGGAACGTTGAATTATGTTGCTCCCGAGAGAGTGTGTAGGGATTTGAAGATGAGAGAATTTTTCGAAAAGTGAGTAATACATGAATACACATTATATAAAATGCGTGGATAGTAGTATATACATTCCAATTAATAATATCTTGTCATCACTGCTAACGTTCGTCATTTCTGTAGACATCCAAAGCTGTCAGACGTATATTCATTCGGATTAATTCTATGGTCTGGTAAGCATAACCATATATTTTATTATCAATATTTTATTTACCGTGCATGCTAAACAGTTTACTTCACTACTCTAGTGGCAAAGGACGGAATACATCCATATGAGAATTTGTGCGATGACGAAATAAAGGAACAGAAACGACATCAAGATTCTTCGATTCAACTGGTAGCGCAACTTCCGCAAAACACACCACCGGACTACTCTCAACTCATAATAAATTTGACAAAGTATGTCCCCAGTGAGAGGCTGGAACTTAGTATTGCTAGACTTGAATTAGAAGATCTTTATGACGATGATGACGGTAAGTCATTGCAAGAACGATTAGCCGGCGTCAAATAAGCAATGAGTTAATTTATAAATGTAATACGTTTTATGAAAACAGACGAGAATGATTTGCAAGAGGACGAAAGTTTAGGAATCGATCTTTATTGCTTAGAGGAGGACGATACTACCGTACATGAAATTGATAGCTACGCCGATACATCGACAAGTGAAGATTTTTCAGAATCAACTTATAGAACACTGACAGCAACACCTATCGATGATGACAGGCAAAGACATTCCATTGACACAACAGACGAAGATACGCGTAATTTCTTTTCCAGTATAACAAGCCCTAGATCGCCAGCGCCACACAGTAGGTCGGCGAGTATGTCTAGTGTCAAGTCATCGACTGAAAGCATCAGACAAAGATCCGTGATTATGCCTAAATCCCCAACTAACAGAAAACCAATGCGCATAGAAATACCCCACGGGAATCTTCAAGACGGAATAGAAAACACTCCCACTAGCTCAATTGATGGAAAATCACAGCCAACTTTAACTTCATCACCAAGTTCAATGCAGTCACCTCCGTTCGAAGCACTAGCCGACGAAAATAGACAAAAAAATATACAATTGATAGAAGAAATACTTGCTATAATGAAAGATTGGGAACGTTCAGGTGACGAAACAATGACCCTACGCCTGAAGCAACTTTGTGCTGATCGAGGTATCAGACCGGCCGAAGCACTCCATCTACTCATGTCAGATAGCAGTCCAACGAGTGATATATACTTTTTAATTGGGTACTTTAACGAATATGCGTTAGGCGAAGACAAGGATCCCGCGACAGCATTCCAGTACTATACAAAAGCAGCCGAACTGGGAGACGCACGAGCTGGAGTTTACCGCGGAATGTGTTATCGCAAAGGCGTCGGAGTAGATCCTAACCCAGTTAAAGCATTCGAATGCTTCCAGCGTGCTGCCGAAAAAGGATCGATGAGGGCTTTGCTCAATGTTGGCTGGTGTTGCGATCTTGGAGTCGGGACGACTGCTGATCCCTACACGGCGTTCAGATGTTTTATGGGTTGTGCCGAGCAGGGATATGATACTGCTCAAGTTAGAGTTGCTGTTTGTTACGAGAATGGTAGAGGGACTAGGAGAGATTACGAAAAAGCGTTAGAGTGGTATAGGAAGGCTGCCGAGAATGGACACGAAATGGCAAAACAGAGAATCGTAGAACTGTCAAAACTTATAAAACGTGGATATAGGAAACATCGAAAACATTTTTGGGTAAGTTTCCATTAAGGGGGGTATGCGGTTCGGTTGATTTTTCAAGCTCTTGAATGTAATGAATGAATTACGCTCATGGTAGCAGACTTCTATTGGAGGGAAGAGAACGTCCTCATGCAATGTCTGATTCTTTCTTCCCATCATCTTTAAGGGGAGAAGTCTTTTTCGTCCGCCGAGATCCAGTACAGTTTGACTTGTGCTGCAGACCCTGTTTTGTTTAAAATAGTTACATGTCATGTAAATTGTCATTGTTGTTATTATTGTCTCGATAGTCAAAAAATGTCACATTGAATTACAAAAGTAGCTTACCCATGGGTTTTATAAAAAATTGCGTTACATTCCAAAAAAATATATTAATAAAATTTTGTGTGGGGGAGAGACCAAAAGGCAAGGATACCCGCTTGGATATTGATCATTGAGAGACATGCTGCGCAATAATAGATTTGAAGACATATGTATTATTGTTAATAAAATTACAAATTAAACACAAGTTGACGTTCTAATTAGTGACAGAAAAACTAGAGCAGTAAATGAAGTCAGCGTTGATGCGCCGCGATAGCAAATTCTCCGTCGTGGATCGTACGCGTCTAAAATAATCGTACGCCATAATAACTGTGATTTAATACAAAATAGTAATAGGTGGTCAATTGTAAATACAACAAATGACGACGAGGCGCCCAGCCCGCACGTCAACAATGGAGCCTTTTAACTATATCGCAGATCACATGGCGATCATCAATTGATAATCACCTTTCGATGTCTCTACAAAAAACATTCCAATCTTGGCTGGCGTCCACTCCGCAACTCTTGCTTGACCTCCGACCCTTAACTTGTCACTTTAAAAAACGCATAATTCCGTCTACATGTATCCCTCTCTCTGAAATATCTTACCTTTGGTTCGAACTACCAACAAAGCAAGTTCCATTTGCCGTATTGGAACCACATACCGATGTGGGTTGCAGCAAGACGTACTTGATAAGTAGAGGATGGAAGGTAAACTGGATATTTGAAGACACTGAAGAGCTGTGGAAAATTGCTAGAGAGTCCAACTGTGTGGAAGAGGGAGACGGGAGCAGCAATGGACGGCAACAATGGGTGCTATTCCAACCGAATCCGTTTCTAATGTCTATTATCGATTCTGTCGAACAGTCCTTTTTGAAATTGGGAGATTGCACAGAATCATTCGCCTTACACTGCTTGGACGTTGGCTGTGGAAGTGGCAGGGATGCAGCGTGGTTATGTGCTAGCAGGAATAAGGTGGAATGGCGCGTGACAGCTGTCGATGCATGGCCAGGTGCGTTAGAGAGAACAAGGGCTTTGGCCAAGGGATTGGGCGTTGAGAAGAGGGTTGAGACGATTAACGCGAAGGTTATGGCCGATGGTGATATTAGAGGAATAAATGAGGATGATAATGCTGGCGGTGACGATAAGAGTGGCTTGAAGGTCAAAGAAGTAGGAATTGACCATTGCGGCGAGCTAAGCAATGACGATGCATCTGTTGTCCAAACACATAAAGCAGGTAAAGTTTGCTTCCCTGTTAATGTTTTAACGTGTTTGTAATAGCGTCCATGAATTCGAACAAATACACAAGCAAACAAATAAGCAAACAAATATCATTCTAGCGCCTGTTAGTCTTTCCAAACGACCGCAATTCAGCTCAACTCTGACATCATTGCCGTTCTTGGAACGCACCTACGACTTGATTCTAATGATCCGGTTTCTGTCGAGAGAGTTGTTTCCTACGATCCGTCAATTGGTTAGACCGGGTGGATATGTGTTGATTAGTACTTTTGTGAATTCACCGTCTCATCCTCTATACTCGAATCCTAAATCTAACAAGCATCGGTTAGAATTGAACGAGTTGATGGGCATTTTTGAGAAATGGGATGACTTTGATATCGTAAAGGATGTTATTGAAGTCATTGAAGACGGACGACCCGTCAATTCTTTTCTCGCGCGGAAGGTTGTTGGACACGTTTGCCCTATGTCGTAAGAATTTTCTCACGTTATTCATTCTATCCAATAGTTGTATTTTGGTCTTCCTAACGTTACCACAAGCATTTGCCATAACAATGTTAACAGATATAGACCTAGTGCAATGATATAAAGATGTACTATTATTACACGTAGTTAGTATTAGTGAGACATGACGTAATAATGATTTAGGTTTCTATTTATAATGACGCTAATTAATTAATTCTGTAACGTATCGTTCATAGAATAAATGTCAAACCATCTTAATTATCAATTAGGAAAAATAAGTAACCTTTTTATTAGAATTTCTATTATTCGCATGTACTCGTTAAAATATATTCTGATAAAATAAATCTTTTTCGCCTAGTGATCAGAAGCGATATCGCCGTAATTCGACCCTGAGCCTTGAGCGAGACCATATTAATATGTCAAAAATAAATTCTATTAATATGAATAATAATAACCCAGCATCATAATTTTACGTGTAGTATAGAATCGTGAGAAATTCTGATTATTTTCATCTCAAATTGTCCCAAACGGGAAGTAGCAAAAATGTCGATAAGAAGGTAAATATCCGGCTTGGCATTAAGCTAAAGAATATCGTACCGGGAAAACAACCATACCGAAAATTATATTTCATAATGTCCCGATTAATAACCTTATTATTATGACTATTAATTTCCAGGCAGATCGGCCCGTGTTTCCACCTGATGCGAAAACAATGCCGGCTGAGAAATAAAGATAATTACACAGCGCGGGCGGTCTTCGGGTCGGTCTTTATGTCTTAGCGCACATAATGCGCGCATTTGTTATTTACATTTTAATTAATTATAGAAATGACACAAAACATTAGCGCAATTCATTGTTCCGACATATAAAGCTGTAACATGCATCACATGACTGCATAACAATAAAGAAAAGCAACAAGTCTTGTTATAACCCCAAAATGAGTGAGACTATAATAGAATAATAGCAAGCACATAATCTCCCATATATTCTAGCAATTCGACCAAAAATTTTATAGTGTACAAAACAAAGGAGAACCTAATTTTTCCTTTCGAAATGCGCGTCTAATCTAAAGGTCACCCAATACTGCAATGCGCTCTTAGTCTTATGCATGACGAAAAACTCGGTTGCATGATTTTGCAATTGGTGATGTTACAATGGCAACCAACATGGACAAATGGTACCTAAGCTTACATATATAATCTTATACTCGTCAATTTAAGATAAGCTACAAAGTAAAACGATTTGTCGTAATGTGAAGATCACAAGCGTAAAGTTTCATGATTGTCTAACCATTTAAAAACGTTATTCGCGTGCACAGCATATACCGACCCATGTGAAAATCCAATCTCCCCGTGTAGAAATCGATTGTTTGACCCGAGAAACTTTCTTGTGTCGAAATCCGCACCGGCCAAAATCAAAACAATACCGAGCATAATATTATGTCATCTCTTACATCCAGAGTATAAAAAAAGCAAGTAGGCGCAAAAACGGAGCGAACGCAACAAGAGGTTTAACAATGTAATTAATCTAAATGACAGCGATCGTATTGATATCCCCTTCGATTTTGTTTCACAAGACAATTAGACGCCGAAAAACGTTGTCTTTCAGTTACCAAGCCACAATACTTTTATGTAACACGTTGTTAGACCTTGTTACAGAGCATGTTTCCCCCCCCCACATATTTTAAAATTCTTTATCAAACGCATTCAGTTTTCGGCATTGATGGTGGAAAAAGAAAAAAGTCTATTTAGACTTTTCTTACCGGAAATTAGTCAAAAGTGGAAGTGATATTAGACTATTTAAGTGTGAACAAGGGAAAAGATATGAGAGTATGACAAAAAGAAGATCGGGCCTAGAAGTGAAGATTGTGGTCGAATAGAAATGTGCGTTTCATTAGATTGCGAGACGATACGTTGACTACTTATGTTCGACAATCAAAAGGCAATAATCATTTCCCAAATCTATAAACCCCATTTGCAAGAGTGTGGCTGAAACGTATCACCTTCTAAATATAGCAATCATTTACACGTTCACCCGACAGGATTACATATAGTGTAAACAATGGTGGGACACAATCGGCACAAGGAAAATGAAATGTTTGCGCCCGACTTTAATATCCGAGAAAAGAGATAAAACAGCCATGCAAGTTTCAAATCGCGTGCACATGTAAAATGACAAAACGTTTTTTTTTTCTTGTCAGTCCTGTTATCCACAGACAGCCCAGCATGACCGCGACGCAATACTAAAGTGGCGCACAAATTATGTCACTTGACCTCATCCCTGAATTCCAAGGAGAGTCTAATTTTCTTTTCCCTGATATCATAACTCAACCGCTCATTTTCAATATGCGGTTTGGACAAAAATGAGACAATACATATGCTACTTGTCATCTGGAAATTGGAGAGAATTAATAAAAAAAAAGTCTTTGTTATTTTTGCTTATACTTCGGCGTTACCATAATTTAAAATCCAACAATCCTCACCAACCCCAATACAGTTTATATGTTACAAGTAAACCATAAAAATTGCTCATACATAGAAATTAAATACTATCCTTTGTTTAGAGAAATGCTAGCTAGGAATATACAAGTGCTTTAACAAAATATTTGTATCGACATAATTTAAAGTCCAAGTGATGAATAAAATAAAATCGGAATAATGTATGCAAATTGTGGGAGTAAAACAATGACAAAAATTGACTTCTTTCTCCCATGATAATCATTTGCCAGAATGATTCTATTGAGAATGTATGTGATCCGCGGTATGTTTTTTTAAAAATAATAAAGTCTGAATGGAATGAATAGATCCGTAGGGTTCATTTTGTGTCTTTGAAACAATTCTCACATACGCGCGACCACACGCCACCCCAATCTTCATTGCCATCGGGGAAGAGGAGCATCGAATAAGCACTGTGTGTACTGCAGAATATGTCGCCACATCTAGAAAAAAAAGAGAGAGAGAGATGAAACAAAAGTGAACAAAAGCAAAATTGCAGGTATTGGTTTCTTATTTGCCGTCAAGAAAATTATTTACCTTCGACAATGATGCCGCCTATTCCACCAATTAAACTTTACGGTGCACTGATAATGTTGACATGTTGAAACTTCGTCGTCTTCAACCCAACGCTTTGTCAGAGCAAAACGAGCCTGATGCCGAATAATCTCTTCTTCAGTCATTAGCAACATTGGATTCGTATACGATTCACGACGAGACTACAAGTATTAAATGTATAAAAACACAACAGTTAATATGACCGGTCGATTCATATCAAGTTATCGTTTGCAGTAATACATACCTGCGGAGGCGATAAACATCTCGCGGGCATCAAATCGGGAACACCTCCGTCCAAACTCTTTCTATCGTTTTTCTTTTCATTCTTCTTCTCAATCTTGTCAATCTTGCTTTTCTCCAATTCTTTCTTTAATAAGCTAATTGAATTTTGTTGCGGTTTATGCTTCTTAACGCTCTTCTTATCTCCCGCATTCCCATTATTGTTCTTATTACCGCCGCTAATACTGCTAGAGCTCTGCGTCCTTGCATGTCCATAATTACCATCACCAACTGTCGGTCCCATGGTATGCCTACGATACTTTTCGCTCATTAGACGGTCCATCTTGCACTCTAAACCTTTCAACAGTTTTTCCATCGAATTGATCATTGTCGATTGACCCGATGCAACAGCTTCGACTTGTCTTATTTTCTCCTCATATTCACGTTCTTTCAATTCTAGCGTATACTCAATATCCTTTTTCATGTTCAGTAATTCCCTGAAAGCAATTCGTGACTTGTCCATCTGTGATTGGAGGTCGTTTAACTCGTCGGCTTGACGACGGCAATTGTCCATGATGGATTTCCACTCTATCGGAATCTCGTCATCAGAGATATCCGAACCCGATTCGAGATCTATGCTTAACCTGGACGTGACAGAGTTTAGAAAATCGTTTTGCTTGAGAAGTTCCTTGCTGTCTTCGAGGGTGGCAACTACCTCATCTCTTGTCTGTTTGTACTGAACTTCGAGATGCTTCTTTTCATTCAACATTGCGGCATGATTCTGCTGTAGGCCGGCAAGTGTCTCCTTGACGCTATCAATCTCTTTTTTGAGTTTAGATACCTGGTCGTAGACAGTAGGGTCTTTTTCCTTTTCATCGTCGGAAACGCTAGTTGACACACAAGATAGTGTTTCGCTTTCTGTGTCTTCGTCATCCGTAAGACCCATGCTCGTTTTCTTTTCTATGCTCTCTTTGTAAAATGACCTATCGCGAAATGTCGAGTCGTCTCCGTGATGCATACCCCGTTCACTATTCTTGTACAGTGTGCTCAGCGTGTATTCGTGTTTTGAAGGTGGTGTCATAGACATTTTTGGACAGGGTTCGTCAATATCAAATACTAATCTTGGTGGGCGTGGTATATTATAGTCCTTGTGCGAAACATCCCTTCGTGGACTCCGCACTGCTTTGATGGAGCGATTGGTAGGGATACTACCTGAACTATTTGATCTTCGCCGTTGTCTCTAATGAAGAAGATGATGTGCAAAGTATAAGGGTTAGAATGAATATGTGCACGAATGATGGAGGATGATAGACAATATAAGAAAATTGGTTATAATGAATCACAGAGAGTTATCACGGGTTACGACGAAAGTGAATTAACATACCGAACTTAAACGATTACGAGGACTGTCTAGACCTGATGCCGGTATATTCATAATATGGAGGAATAGGACGCTGTCACCGTTTCGTTATTAATCTCCTATCCGTTTGTCTGGTGGTGTATAGTATATCTCTGGTGTTGCAGTGTTTGTAGTGTATAAGAGTGTTTGTCAATGCGTCCGTAGCCGTTCTATATGACAGCTATTATAAAGTTTTTGTTATAACTCTGCAAGTCTATTTAGTCTTCTGCAAGTGGTCTTTATTTTGGTTGAAGATAAACAAATTGTTATTGAATGACAGGTTATCTTGGAAATGACACGTTGCGGTGTATCTAAAATGGGTTCTTTTGCAAATACTCTACA